AACAAAAGTAATGTGGATATATATGGTGCTAAAGCTAGATTTACTGATCAACAACCAACCATTTGCAGTGCATTGCATCCACAACCCTTGATGAATTTAGGAGTCAGTTTGAGAAGGACAAAGCGCTAGCAAGGAGATTCCAGCCAGTGCTGATTGACGAGCCAAGCGAGGTTTCTTTTCAAGCCAGTGATTTTTAATCTGCTAACCAACCCACATACATCTGTTTTCTTATCTAGTTAATTCATCTTAACAACACTTTTTAGGAAGATGCGGTGAAGATTTTGTTGGGTCTTCGTGAAAAATATGAAACCCATCACAACTGCAAATATACTGTGGAAGCCATAGATGCTGCAGTGTACCTTTCCTCACGATATATCGCTGATAGATTTCTTCCAGATAAAGCAATTGATCTCATGGACGAGGCAGGAAGCAGAGCTCGTATTGAAGCTTTTAGGAAGAAAAAGGAGGATGCAACATGTATCCTTTCGAAACCACCTGATGATTACTGGCAGGAGATCAGAACAGTTCAAGCCATGCACGAAGTGGTAAAAAAAAAACTAGACATTTGTCGTATACACTTGGATGTTGATCTTATTTAACCTATTCCTTCATTATATGTTTCTGTGAGTAGGTTCTATCAAGCAGGCAGAAGCAGGATGATGGTGATGCCATTGCAGATGAGTCTGGTGAACTAACTGAGGAGTCTTCTCTGCCGCCTGCAGCGGGAGACGATGAGTACGACCTCCTTCTTTTACATATTTAGGTCTTGAGGGGAAACTAAAAGAAAAAGGAATGAGTCTTCATAACATGAGTTTTGATTGTGCTTTCAGGCCTATACTGGTGGGACCTGATGATATTGCAGCTGTTGCATCGGCCTGGTCTGGAATTCCAGTTCAGCAGATGACTGCAGATGAGAGAATGCTTCTTATGGGTCTAGAAGATCAACTTAGAGGCAGAGTCATTGGTCAAGATGAAGCTGTAGCTGCCATATCTAGAGCTGTGAAGAGGTCCCGGGTCGGGTTAAAAGATCCCGACCGTCCAATCGCCGCTATGCTTTTCTGTGGACCAACCGGAGTTGGAAAAACAGAGCTCACGAAAGCTCTAGCAGCAAATTACTTCGGATCGGTACAGTTTCTGTTAACAATGTAATGCTGATGACACATGATGTGGTCACTGAAACCGATTCCTTCATCATCGGTGTTTATTTGCAGGAGGAATCAATGCTGAGATTGGACATGAGTGAATACATGGAGCGTCACACTGTGAGCAAGTTGATAGGCTCTCCTCCTGGATATGTTGGTTTCGAAGAAGGAGGAATGCTCACTGAAGCTATCAGGAGACGTCCTTTCACAGTTGTTCTCTTCGATGAGATTGAGAAAGCTCATCCTGATATATTCAATATTCTTCTCCAGCTTTTCGAAGATGGCCATTTAACCGATTCTCAGGTTTCCATGAGCTTCTTCAAGAGATCTATGTACATATATGATTGATGCTTGTTTTTGAAGTTTATAAATTATACATTGGCTCTGTTTTTACAGGGAAGGAGAGTGTCTTTCAAGAACGCGCTGATTATAATGACCTCTAACGTCGGATCATCAGCCATTGCAAAGGGAAGACACGGCTCGATCGGTTTTATCCTCGATGACGACGAAGAGGCTGCGTCTTACACCGGAATGAAAGCTTTGGTCGTCGAAGAACTCAAAAACTATTTCCGTCCAGAGCTGTTGAACCGGATAGACGAAATCGTCATTTTCCGTCAGCTCGAGAAGGCTCAGGTTTGTTCATTTTTCTCCACTCCTAATAAAATGCATCATATGCTTGATTTGTTGGCTTAAACTCTCGAATTTGCAGATGATGGAGATCTTGAACCTGATGCTACAAGACTTGAAGTCGAGGCTCGTAGCGCTCGGAGTCGGTTTAGAGGTGTCTGAAGCCGTGAAGGAGCTTATTTGCAGACAAGGGTATGATCCGGCGTACGGTGCAAGGCCACTCCGTAGAACCGTGACAGAGATTGTGGAGGATCCACTCAGCGAAGCCTTTCTTGCTGGGAGTTTCAAGCCCGGTGACACGGCTTTCGTGGTTCTCGATGATACCGGAAACCCATCGGTTCGGACCAAACCGGATTCTTCAACTGTAAGAGTTACAGACAAGACATCAATCGCTTAGTTTTTCACACCATTGGAGGATTATTATGTATATAAAAATTCTTTGGTTAGACTTAAATTGTCACTCCTGTTATACGTGAATCTTGAATAGCTTGTTGCAAACCTGTTGTATATAATACTAGATTAAGACCCGCGTATACGCGGGTTTATTTTAAGATTTTGTAATAAAATCATGGAAAAGTATTAAACCAAATTTGATCATTTTAAAGTAAACAGAATAATATTAAAAACCCGATAAAAATATTTAAATAAAATAAGATCGGTAACCTTTTTACGTTTTTATTGTAATTGATATTTTTTTTGAATTCATGATATGAAAAATGAATTAATTTGTTTTATTTTTATTTTTATCCAATATAGAAAGACTTATATATGTCTAAATATGATCAACTGATTAATTAATTCAACAAAACTTTATTATTCCATTCAAGAGATTTCAATTGATGAAATCTTTATTTAATAATTTTTTACCTAACAATATTGAAAATTAAACTATTTAAAATTAGAATATCGGTTCATTATATTTTCTTAATATTAGTTAGTTGCTTGATAATTAATTTGTTAGTTTTCTATTTATATTGTTTCTTTCTCAATTTTGTTTTTGACTCAGACCATTATAAATTTTCATTTTCATTATTAGTTAGTTTTTTTTCTAGTTTTTATATCTGTTTAACATTTTTCCAATTAACATGTCTTCACCGGATCAAATACATGTAACGACAATAATTTTGATTTCTATCCAACCGATATAGAGTTAGATACATGTATCGACAATAATTTTGATTTCTATCCAACTAATATAGAGTTAAATATTATTCATTGATACCATGAATTTTAAATACATGATTTTTTATGAGAGAAAAGATTATACAAAAGATAGAAGCACATAATTGAATCGCAATAGCTTATTATATATTGTTGTTCATAATGGGAATATAAACACATATCGCAATTTTGTGAGTTATAAAAATCATATGTATTGCTATCATGTTGTTTGCTTTGATGAGTTTGTGAATGAGAAAAAAAAGACTACTTTAACTCTCTTTTTATAGGGGTTCATGTAACTTATTCCATGCAGTTATAGGAAATTTAGTTTACATAACCTATTTCATGTACTAATAGGATTTTATTTATTTCATTAATTTGAATCTTATATGTGTTTGGATAATATAAATTTGATGAATGGGAAACCTTTTTCTATTAGGATATGACAAATATTTTTTTTCTTTCTTTTAACTATAAAAATTAAAATTTCGTTTTTTTCCTTTATCTATTTTTTTTAATTATTTTTTTATAACTTATTTAATGTACTAATAGGATTTTATTTATTTCATTAATTTGAATCTTATATGTGTTTGATAATATAAATTTGATGAATGGGAAACCTTTTTCTATTAGGATATGACAAATATTTTTTTTTCTTTTAACTATAAAAATTAAAATTTCGTTTTTTTTCCTTTATCTATGTTTTTTTTAATTATTATTTTTTTTTCTAAGACACATGTCACGATCTTAACGGATATAACATTAAAAGTGACACATGTCGCAATCCTAAATTTTATAAAAATCATACGTGTCGCAACCACGTCGCGTGCATCCAACTTTATATAATAAGATATAAAGATACATAGTGATTAGTGCGTAAGTTTATTTGTATTAACTATTGGATTATGAAGTAATTGTAATTTGTTACTCCTCCAATTTTTAACAAGGTCTATATAAGAGTTACGTTCTAAGATGTTTATAATCCTCCGTTGATTAGAAGTCCTCAGTGCGAACTTCAAAGTGGATTTTCTCTTTGGTAGACCATATATACTTTTTGTTTGGACGAAAACCGAAGATTAACATTTCAAACTAAAAATTTAAGAACAACGATTTCAAATAAGTCAGAAGCTATAGAAGCAATAGAGTGGGGAAACTGAATCTTATTTACTAAACTGTACGTAAGAGTATTACAAAAAAAGCGAATCAGATTGAAGAGGAAGGAGGGTTCGGGGATGAGGGAACATGATAGCCTCCGTGCTTCACCTTCCGTAATATTGATCATGACAGGTTACTTGATATATAGCGAAGGGGACTCATCTCATTGTCTTCTCCATCGTTGAACTTTTATTAAACCGTTTTCCTTCCTAGCTAGATTGATAATTAGTTCTTTGGAAAACTATTATAGTAATACTCACATGCTAAGAACTTATGTAATACAGAGATGCTCACAAGAAGCAACATAGTGTCGCCATGATGGCTGCAATCCCTAACATTATTATCGAATCAGATCGATGAATGATATCTCATTTTGCCTGTTCTTTGGAAATTATTAAAGTAATACTCACACGATAAAAGTTACGTAATACAGATTACAGAAGCGAGATAGTGTCGCCATGATTGTTGCAATATCTCTGAAACCCTAAGCATTACTATTGAAATAACCAAGCCAAAAGTCAACGTATTCGTGCTTATACTCTGTCAATGACAACGACATTATTATTTTCCAAACATAATTTTTTCTTAGACTAAACCAAAAATGGATATATAATGAGTTATAACCACAAACACAGCAACGACTTTCCTTTGTTTGATTATCTAAGACAAGTGCATGATTAACAAAAGGATAGACTTGGAAAACACAACGTAATGAGAAAGACGGCAATGAAAAATTGTGGCGACATTATGAACTTTGGGAAAACCTAAAAGAATAGAGGAGGGCATAACCAAGAATAAGAAAGTTACAAAATTTTGAGTATAAATAGATCACCACACCTGTGGATTTATATCATCGAATTAAAGTGTTAAGTTTACTGAAGAGAAAAAGAGAACGACAAAGGCTAAAGAAAAGAAATGGCAAATACCCTCATCAACTCCGTTAGTTTCACCGTTCTCTTGGTTGTTCTCGTGATGGCTTCAACAGGTATCCATTTAACGGAGTTGATCTCTTTTCTATTTTGCAGCTGTCTTTTCATTTTCTTGTGCTGATGATCTTGATGAACATGTCAACATCTAGGAGTCCTCAAGAGTGATGCGGCCGACCTGGAATGCTACAATAAGAATGCTCTTCAATGCCCTCTCCTTGCTAACCGTGCATTCCTCGGTGAGTGCGGGCCTGCGCCGTTCACTGAAGGTAATTGTGAATGCTGTAAATGTTGCATGCGGACATACGGTAGTTGGCCTACGGGTACTTCAGTCTGTTGGGCGGTTGTTGAGGGAAGCGACAATGACTGCCATTGCTACAAAAAGGTATAAGGTTTGAAGTAACCTCAAAACAAAAATCCCAAGTGTAACTTTTGTTTTCGTTCGGTGTGAGGACATCACATGTGTGTATGTGTGTGTGTGTGTGTTCAAGTTTCTTTTGGTTCCAAATAAAACATAAAGGGCAAAGCGTGTCACTGTTTGCCACCCAAGTGTAACCTCATGTTGTGTGCACTTTTGTAATATATAATAAACTCGTTTCGTGTGTTTGTCCGTTGTCCCTCAAAGATCAATGGTGAGAAATCGCTTCTGAACTTTTCATCTTTAGCAAGACCCTATGGATATAATTTACAACTACATCTTAATTCATGAAATATCCGGATAATTTTCTATCTTTAGCTTACGCAATAACAGCTGTAAAATAAAAAACAAATTTTATTTGGTCTATATGAATTAACATTTTTTTTCCTATAAGAAAGGTAAAAAAGACAATTTTCCCTATTGAAAATATAGATATGATTCATATGTCAAATAAAAGGAGTAGCTTCAATTTGAAGTCGATGGAGGGGAGAGTAGCTTCAAGTTCAAGTCCAACGTCTCATATATATTTATAGATTTCTCTCTCTCTAGCTCACGCTCACGAAACCTCCAACGACACAATTTCATTCTCTCTGTCTCTCTCTATTGCTTCAAAGATGGTAAAGCCTGAGCTTGAGTACTTGAAGGAGAAACGTAATCTGGTATGTTTTGTTAACTTATCTTTGATTAGTCAGGGATATCGTCTAATTATGAATACGGGTTAAGATTATATATGCAGTTTAGGGCTTGTCCCGTGTTTTTTTCGGTTAGTTAAGCTATATATATGATACAAGCAAATACGTTTTATGGTTTGATTCATATGTTGTTTTTTTTCACGTTTTTAAAAACCTGATTTTCGCAAAGTACATACGATTCATAGTAATAAGCCCTAAACTAAGGCTTTTCAGTTTATATCTAGTTTAGACAAAACTTGATTTGTCTAGTTTACAAAAAGAAATATTTAGGTTTAAGTGTTCTCGTTCTATTGATTTCGCTATTCAATATTATCTACCTCATACTAATCAAGCCCTACAATTTAGAGCAATTGTTTTTCAAAAAAAACTTTGTTAAACACATGTGATTTTCTTTTCTTTTCTTATTTCTGCCGCGAGTTGCAAATTCAAATTTACTTGTTTGTTTTGTGTGTTTTCAGCAAGATTTGTGGAAGGCAGCATTTCCGGTGGGAACTGAGGTATTATGGCTTTGAACATACATTGTAGTTAATTACTGTTTCCATTGATAATATATTCTTTTGCTTATGGTTGTTAAATTGTTGTTGGCAGTGGCACAATTTAGATGCAGTTTACCAATACAATTGGGATTTCAAAAATCTTGAAGTAAGTTGTTTGGATTACATTCTCCATTTTTTTTCTTACATGTCTATAATTTAATGAGATTCTGGAATTTATTTTATGTTTCTTCTTCATCTTGTGTGATCAGGAAGCACTAGAGGAAGGAGGAATCCTCTATGGGAAGAAAGTCTATGTTTTTGGCATTGCAGAACGTAAGATGTTGTTCTTGTCTTTGAGGTTTTTGCTACTTTTTTTAAACACTCTTCTTATCTTACTTGTTTAAATCATCTTTGACAGCTCAACACGTCCCCTCCATAGACAAGTTTATCCATGTCCCAACAGTTGTTGCTGTAAGTTATTGAATAACAAATCTCTTATCAAACGGTTTACTTGCTATCACTGATGAATGATCATATATATTATTATCTAACTTCTCTTTCTAATATTAATCTATTATGTGTGCACATGCAGATTGAATCACCCTTTCCGCCTTCTGATAAGATAGGAATCAAATTGGTTCAGAGAGAAGTGGAAGATATAGTTCCAATGAAGCAGATGAAAATGGCTTGGGTCCCTTACGTCCCCTTTGAAAAAAGGTAACCCTAGAGGTCCACTTGCATTGTTTACATATTCGTTGGGAAGATTAATTAGTCTGGTATCAAAAGTACGGATCACCTTCTGGTTATGGCTTTTGATTGGTAACATGTGTTACCATGTAGTATAAGATTGAGTTATGAGCTTAACTCGAAAATCTTATCGATCATGAATTATTTTTAGTTTTTTTGCATAGTGAGTAAAAAACAAGATAATGTCATTATTATTTTATTTTTATTTTTATTTTTTTAAAAGTTTGTAGCTAATTACATTTGCTTTGTTGTCCTTGCAGAGATAGACAAGTTGATAGGATGAACTTTCAAGTTTTTACTTTGGCCTGTACGCAGAGGAGGTAAGAAACATGATTGCAAAATCTATAGCCTCTCTTAGTATTGTTTTGAATCTACTCAACTTCATCTTTGCTCATTTATTTGCAGAGTTGCTTTAAGACATTTGAAAGAAGATCGTGTTAAGATGTTCGAGTATAGCATTCCTTGTGAGTTCTATTACCAATACTAGTACTTCAAAAATTGAAGAGAGAAAACTAATTATATCATATACATGATATTTCTAATATCTGTTCTTTTTTTTTTGGTTACTCAGATTTCTATCAACCATTTAGTGAAGATGAATTTGAACGGAATACTGAGGTCCATATAATGTTCCCGTCTTACCCGCCGGGAAGTTTTCCGAAATGCATTGAATGTTGTGTTTGAAGTGGCATGTCTACATGAAATGGTTATAATATGTGTCACATTTTTTTGGGAGGTATTTTCTTGATAATAATCAACTTTCAATTTTATGTTTTGTGCCAGGTTGTATGTCAATTTGATTGGAAGATTCACAGACTTGAGGTATGCGTTTGGCTTTTCCTGTAACCACTAAAACTTTTTGTTTTTTTTTTTTTTTTTTTTTTTTTTTTGAACATCTCTTTAATTTAAATCTTAAAAACATTATGTCATGAAATTGCAATCATATTGTATGCTGAATCTTGAGATGGGTTCTTTTTGTCGATATATTTTCAGGAATTTATTGATGAAATGATTGAAGATGAAGAATTACCTGCGGAACAAAGAAATGAATTCAAAGTAAGTTTTCAGCTGTGTAACACTATTGTTTAGCTAAAGTATATATATCTTTAATTTTTGCTTATTTTTTTCTTTCAGGAATTCGTCAAAGAGCAAGTCCGAGCAGCTAAGAAAGCTCGTGGAGAGGTAAAATTGTAAACCGATGACCGAGATTTTATATGTTTGCTTACATTCAGTGAAAATGTTTGCTTAGAGATATTGTAATATTATTATTATTCTTGCAGGCAAAAGATGCTCGAATGGAGGCAATAGAAGAAATGAGCGAAGAAACTAAACAGGCTTTCCAAAACATCAAGTTCTATAAATTCTACCCTCAGGCTTCACCAGATGTCCCAAGATTCCTTAAGGTAAGACAAAAAAAGAAAAACAAAAAACCTGTCTTCATATAATTAGTTTAAACACTGTTTTTAGTTTGTTACGAAGCTCATAATATATGTAAATCATCTTTGTTTGCAGACGGACAAGATTAACCGATACTACGGGAGTGCTCATCAAGTCCTTTGATATAAATTCTTCCGGAACCAGATTAGCTTTTCTTGGCAGCTTTAACAATGCTCTGATTAGAAACTCTTTGGAAGACTAAAATGTCTGTTGTTTCTTTTATTAATGAGTTTGTTTTCTCCTCCATAAGAATTTAGGACATGTGAACATGTGTGGAAAATTAGAGAACAATAATATATACTTTCTTTCAAAAATATACAAGATATTAAAAATAAATGTGAGAAGATTAAGAATTATATTTTTTAAACAAACCATAATTTAGCCCCTTAAAACTTAAAAACAGTTCAGCCAACCATAAAGATAATAATTAAATGATTTAAAGAGCCCAAAAAATAAAATTGGATCGGTTTTGTGAGAGGATATTATATAATACTACATTAAGCTCCGCGTAGCGAGTTTATTTTAAGATTTTGTAATAAAATCACAGAAAATTATTAAACAAAATTTGATCACTTTTAAAAGTAAATAGAATAATATTAAAAACCTGATAACAAATATTTAAATAAAATAAAATTAGTAATATTTTTTACATTTTTATTGTAATTGATATTTTTTTGAATTCATAATATGAAAAATGAATTAATTTGTTTTACTTTTATTTTTATACAATATAGAAAGACTGACCTATGTCTAAATCTGATCAACTGATTTATTCATCAAACTTTTATTGTTCCATTCAAGTGATTTCATTTGATGAAATCTTTATTTAATATATTTTACCTAACAAAAAAATAAAAATTAAACTATTAAAATTAGAATATCGGTTAATTATAATGTTTTAATATTATTTAGTTGCTTGATAATTATTTTGTTAGTTTTCTATTTATATTGTTTCTTTCTCAATTTGTTTTTGCCTCAGCCCATTTTAAATTTTCATTTTCATTATTAGTTAGTTTTTTTTTAATTATTTTGCTATTTTTAATTTCTGTTTAACATTTTTTCAATTTACTTGTGTTAACATGTCTTCACCGGATCAAATATTAGATACATGTAACGACAATAATTTTGATTTCGATTCAACTGATTTAGAGTTAAATATTCTTCATTCATATCTTGAATTTTATAGACATGAATTTTTATTTCTTAATGAGAGAGAAGATTATACAAAAAATAAAAGCACACAAATCATGAACACTATAGTTATTTATATATTGTTTTTTTCCTTTTCGTAATGGGAATATTTTTTTTTCCTTTTCTTAATATATGTAACAAAAGAATTTTAAATTACTTGTTTCTTGTTTTATTTTATTTTTTTAATTTTTTTATGTAGCATTTTTTCATTTTAGTTGTTTGTTTTCTGTTTTTCTAATTTTTTGTTGGTCTTAAACATATATATATATTTTTTTATTCTATGACACATGTCACGACCTTAATAGACACATGTGACGATCTTAATATTTTATATTTTCAAAAAAACACATGTCGCAATTTTGTCAGTTATAAAAATCCTATGTGTCATGTCGTAAACTTTCAAAGATATTATTTTTAAATTAGAGAAAGAGAATAAAAAGATTTGGTGAATCTGTTTTGATGAGTTTGTGAATTAGAAAAAACATACTACCTTAACTCTCCTTTATAGGGGCTCATATAATCTATTTCATGTAGCTATAGGAAATTTAGTTTATATAACCTATTTCATATACTAATAGGGTTTTATTTATTATGTGTTTGGATGATATGAATTTGATGAATGAGTAACTTTTTTCTATTAGATTATGACAAATATTTTTATTATTTTAACTATAATATTTTATTTTATTTTTTAATTTTCCTTTATCTAATATTTTCTTTTAATTATTATTTTTTATTTTTACACGTGTCATGATCTTAACAGATGTAACATTAAAAGTGATACATGTCGTGATTCTCAAAATTATAAAAATCATACGTGTCGCAACTGATTAAAAAGTTTTTTCTTTCATTTTGTATGATTTTTTTGTTGTAAAAAGGCATATTTTTATTTTATATGATGTTTTACAAGTTAAGTTAACTTTTAATATTGTTTGATATCTTTTCTCTTTGAATCATTTAATTATTATTTTGGAAAAGTGCAAACTGAAAATAAAATTTGACACGGTGTTATTGGGCCTCTATTATCCAAAATGGGCCTACATTAGTAATCACATATTTATTGATAATTAAAAAATGGAAGAAAAACCCTATTTCTTCCTCATTGGCGTTGAAATAACGCAGTAGCGAAGGAAAAAAAAACCCAAAAAAATTAAAAACCCCCAAATGTGTGTCTTCTAAAATTCGAAATCCACCGCCTATCGATCCCTACCTTTCTTTCTCTCTTTGTCATTGTCTGTCTCCATCAGCGGAGCATTAGGGTTTTCTCTCATCGTTATCTCAATTCGCTCTTAGTTCGTCGATAACACTGTTGCAAATGAAGAAGGGAGCGAAGAGAAAGGGCGCTTCGAAAGCAGGTCGCAAAGGTGCGGTTGCGGAGAGTCAGAACGACGCCGAGGAGGTAATTGCCGAGTCTCTGGTTCCGTCGACGCAGGAGAACGGGGAAGATGCGAAGGGAGACGAGCATGAGGACGGAGAGAAAGTCGAAGAAGCACCACCGACGCAACCTGATTCCTTAACGGAGGAGAATCTAGACGATGAGGTCAAAGACGACGCTGCTCCTTCCGAGGAGCAGGAGGAAGATGTAAAGGCCGAGGAAGTGAAGGAGGATAAGAAGAAGCCTGCTCGTGGTGGTGGTAAGCGAAAGAGGGCCGTCACGAACAAGGAAACCGAGAAGAAAGATGTGGCTAAACCGGCTCCGAGAGCTAAGAAACCCCGAGCGGCCAAACCACAGGAAGAGCCTGAGTACTTCGAGGACAAACGTAATCTGGTATGGATTTGCTATCCTTAATTGGCCTGGGTTTAGATTTATCACTTGGATTGATTATATGCAATTTGTGGCTTGTGATGTGTGTTTTGGCTTTGTGAAAACAACAATGAAAGTGTGTTTTTCCTTATCTTATTGCTGCTGTGTGAGTGTGAGTGGCGAATTCACATGATTTTGTTTGTGTTTTCAGGAAGATCTGTGGAAGGCTGCATTCCCAGTGGGAACTGAGGTACATAATTATCTTGAGGATTCAACTTCAATTGGAGTTCTTGTCTCCAATTATATTCTTTGCTTATGGTTTGTTGAATTGTGATTGCAGTGGGACAATGTAGATGCAGTTTATGAATTCAATTGGGACTTCAAACATCTTGAAGTAAGTTGTTTGGATTACATTCTCCATTTTGTTTCTTGTCTATTGTTGATGAGATTCTGGTATTTATTGTATGTTTCTTCGTCTGTGTGATCAGGAAGCACTGGAGGAAGGAGGAATGCTCTATGGGAGGAATGTCTTTGTTTTTGGCATTGCAGAACGTAAGATGTTTCTCCTCAATTCTGGTTATTGCTTAAGAAATCTATCAGGGTCCTGTTAAAAGTTATCTGTTTTATGTTTACAGCTCAATTCTTCCTCCACAACGGTGAAAAAACCTTTGTCCAGGTCCCAACGGTTGTTGTTGTAAGTGACTGTTTAAAATTTCTATTCACTGTTTTGCTTGCTATCACTGATCATATAGTGTCACATTTCTCTTTCTAATATTCTATTATATGCGCACAGATTGATACACCCTTTCCTCCCTCTGATAAGCTAGCGGTCACATCGATTCAGAGTGCAGTGGAGAAAACCATTTCAATGAGTGAGATGAAAATGGCCTGGGTTCCTTACATTCCCTTTGACAAAAGGTACCACGAGTTCCTAAATCAAGTGAGAAGAGAGACAAATATTATGTCAATGGCTATCGTACTTTTGATGTTTACTGGCAGTTTGCTAATTGCTTTTGCTTTGTTCTTCTTGCAGAGATAGACAGGTTGATAGGATGAAGCTTCCAATCTCTGTCTTGGGCTGTACGCAGAGGAAGTAAGTAACATGAGCTAGATGTCTAATAAGAGTTTTAGAAAAGTTAATTGTTCACTTGCTAAGAAGGGATTTTGAGTTGCATTACATCAAAGATTTGAAATTAGGACATCATCACGCATATGCTACTTGATTGTGTGATGAGCTTGTGCTGCATTGTTTGTGTTCCTTCATTTCTGCATATTAATGTTAAAGGTTCATGTAAATCTCTAGTCTCTCTTATATAGTAGATGGTATTATTTGAATCGACCAGTTATGGTGTACTCAGTTTAGCCTTTTACATTTATCTGCAGAGCTGCTCTCAAACATTTGAAGGAAGAGCGTGTTAAGATGTTCGAGTATATCATTCCTTGTGAGTTCGATTCCTCTATACTACCGATACTGTTGGCAGTTGATGATCTGTATGGCTTCATTGTTATGTATGTGGTACGTTGCAACAAAAATCTAATGTCCTCTTTTTTTTTTTTTTTTTTTTTTTTTTTTTTTTTTTTTTTCTGCTTTACAGATATCTATCAACCATTTAAGGAAGATGAACTTGAACAGAGTACTGAGGTCCAAATAATGTTCCCCTCCGATCCTCCGGTAAGTTTTTTAATTGGCATGTTGGTGTTAGAAGTGGCAGGTCGCGTTACTTTCCTTTACAATCAAGCTTTAAATTTATCTGTTTGGCAATGTCAGGTTGTATGTGATTTCGACTGGGAGTTTGACGAGCTTGAGGTATGCGTTATGGCTTTTCTTCATTGTGTGTTCAAATTGCATTCATTGTATGGCTTCTTATTGTTGCATCTATCTTCAGGAATTTGTTGATAAAAAGGTTGAAGACGAAGAAATATCTGCAGAGCAAAAGGATGAATTCAAAGTGAGTCTGAGCTTCTAACACACATATCGTCAGTTTTCATGACGCTTTTGTGATTATATATAGTCAGTTTTCAGGACGCTTTTGAGATTATACATCTCTAATCTTGTTGCTTTACTATTTTTCTCAGGAATTCGTCAAAGAGCAAGTCCGGGCAGCAAAGAAAGCTAATCGAGAGGTAAAATTATATATAACCAACCGAAGTAGTAATAATACAATGAAAGTGTTTTTGCTAAATGATACGGTATTGTGATTATTGCATGCAGGCAAGAGAAGCTCGGAAGAAAGTAATAGAAGATATGAGTGAGGAGAAGAAGCAAGCCATTAAAAACATGAAGTTCTACAAATTCTACCCTCAAAATGCACCAGACGCCGCGAAAGACATGTTGAAGTCGAAGTTCATTAACCGGTATTACGGTAATGCTCATCAAGTCCTTTGAATCTTGGCAAGCTTCAAGAGTGCTCGCTCTCAGAAACTCTTTGAGCTTTTCATAGTTTACAAAAAAAATCCAAAGTTTGAACGACTTAGATGTCATTTATCTTTCTTTAATATTTGATGAGTTTGTTGTATTCACTCCTTCAGAAAGATTTAAGATCTTAGATTTGAGTCTCAGGGACCAATTCATTTTTGTGGAAATTTGGAGACCGCAATATATAATTTTTCTATGGTAGCTTCATCATTTACAATCTCTCAGTCACCATGATAATTTCTAGTGTCCATATCAATTTGGATTATTATTATTAGACTAGGACTTTCACCCGCGCACGCGCGGGTCTGTATCTTAAATCAGTTTAAAATATATTTAATTTTTTTTTTTTAAACTGCAAAAATCAACAATTAAAATTTATCAATATTTCAATACCAAAACTCTCTGGAAAACAAAAGTTTTTAGATATATCAATATCGTATTGAGATCAAATCTTGACATACAAAAATATTGTTTAGATCATATCCCGGTAACAAAAATGTTTGTGTATGTCTAATGACCAAAACTTACTTGAAGATATTCAAATCATTATAATAGGACAAACTTACTTTATCACTAAACTTATTTGTAAAATGTAATGTTAATTTATGAACTATTGTGACGTGTTAGTCATTTTCTAAACAGAAATATATTTTTAAATATATTTAGTGAAATTCTTAAAATTAGATGTCAATAATATTTGTATATAACATGATGTTTATTTAAAATAACTTCAGTTGGTTATGTTAGAACTTAAAATGCTATAAATAACAATATTTGTATGTAATAAATTTAAGCTAGATGATAAACTAATATTTTGGTAAGTTTTCAATGGTTATAAAACCTAAAACCTAAATGAAGAGAAGCTAGTCGACACACATAATTGTTCTTCATTTTCTTCTTCGTTGTTGTTTTAAAGTTTTTTTTTAATTTTCTTTGATTCATTCTTTTTCAGTATCTTATGTTTTGTTTTCTTCTTTGTCTTTGGTCTTATTTGATTTCTTCTTCATTTTCACTCATCTTCGCGTTTGCTCTTCTTCGTCTTTGCTCTCTTTTTTTTTCTTCTTTTTTTTTGTTTTGTTTTGATTTGGTTTCTTCTCCTTTGTTCTTATTTTATTTCCTCTTTAGATTGGTCTTCGCAAGTTTTTTTGTTGTTGTTAGGTTTCTTCTCCTTCGTTCTTGTTCGAATTCCTCTTCAAATTGTTCTTCACAAGTTTTTAATATGGTTTTTCCTTATTCATCTTTGTCTTCTTTTGTCTCTATTTTGTATTCGCAATTCAATATCTTTGTTTTCGCTATTCTTCGGTTTTATCTTGGTACTCTTCTTTTTTGTGTCTACTTTTTTCTTCATTTTGTTTTCTCTTATTTCTGTAGGTTATTCTCGACCCTTAAAATTCTGCATGGTTCCATTCCTCTTGTAAAATTCTGCATGGCTCTATTCCTCTTAAATTTAGAATAAATTATAATTAAATAAAACACAATTTCGTTACCTGAAAAACTGAAAATAAAATCAAGCTAGAATGACTTATTGAACAAAATATATTCAAAACAGGCCCTTTGAATGTCATATGTAAATACTAAAATGAGAAGGAATTTATCTTATTCTGTTTTTAATAAATTTACTTTTGTTTATATTCCTTCTCTTTCAAGTGACATCTTTTAAAAGTACTACTTATAAACACATGAATATGTAAATATTACAAAACATTGAAAAACGAAGAAAAGAAAAATAGAAAAGGAACAAAATACAGCCTTCTATTGTGTTTGCCTTTTCCTTTCAATTTGTGTCATGTAATCACTATTCTGATTTTTTTTGTTTCTTCATAATCAATATTATTTTCCCCATCGAAAGCTTACTAATTTAGGAGCAACAATTCACTTTTGATTTAATCTACACTTTGGTAATTTCGATTCCTTGTTCTCTTCATAGTCCTTTGATTATTTTGTGGTAATGTAACTTATTTATTAATTAATTGGATGTGCTTCCATTATCAAAATACAAAGAAAATCAATTGAACACCATAGACCAGATAATATTCGAAATAAAGCAAGCGAATTTATTTATTTCACAGAAGGACATGTATACCTTCAGTGTGATGCCCATTGTCTTCGTTTCAATCATTCCTTTGCTTCATGATTTTTCATTAATTCACTACATATCCTTTAGAAGAATTGATCGATCTATGTGAACTTTCAATATGTGATGTCAAAGTATCTTGTCTTCAATATATATCCCTCCATCTTGCTTCCAGGTGGTTTCTCGATGTTGGATTTGTTTGATCTTATATCAAGCTCTGACGTGAACATATGTTTATTCATGTAAGCTACATTTGATCAAAATCGAGTTAATACAATTGTAGCTTTAGATGTTGATATATAATGATATTGTTGGTATAATTTTCTTATTTATTACATATCTCTACTAATATTACACTTATAAATTCTGGAAACTTTCCTATTGCTTAACTTTGAATTATGAAACTTTCTTAAAATATAAAAATATAAAAAGGAATTTAACTAATTGAACAAATAGCTAATTTTATGTGATGATGTGGATTGATACTATTGGTTGTTTAAAATTCGGAAACTTTCTTAATCTAGGAAATACTTATGTGGACCAATCAAATCGCGTTTTATAATCCTATGTGGACGCTCTCAGAGGCTTATAGCCTCAACTTTTATATAATATAGATTTATAAAAATTTCACAAATAAATTAGGGTGAATTGGCTAACTAGCAATATTGGGAATAGTATTTAAGTAACTACCCATAAGAGAATCGAAATTGGAGAGTATATTCCACGCGCCATTAAAAGACAAATTTGTCATTTATCTGGTCCGAGTTGCCCTTGTCTTCTGTGTGAGAAAAAAGAGAAGAGGAGGTGGTGAAAAGATGATCACACAATTGGACAGAAACTAACTGGAGAAAGCAAAGACGCATTTTTCGATTGCCAAGAATTTCTAGATTAAAGGAACAATCAGCAACAAAAAAAGTTGTGATTTGTGAAATTCTCTAAAAGCTTTCGGTGTTTAACCAAAACTCTAGATAACAGAGATGAGGACATTTTGGGAATATTTTATAAAATATGCAGTATATTGTAGCCAATCAATCATTAATTCATTATAGCCATATCCTTAATTTTAGGTTTTTTTATGGTTATTAGATACAATTTCCCAATAAATTATGACTATGTACAAACAAATTCTAAAACCATATCAAATATAGTTAGGGTTTTTTTCATCTAATAATTTGTGGGCTATAAAACCAAAAAAAAAATCAATCAAGATTGGCGATTAGCGAAGAGTCGAAGACAAAAAAGAATTGGTAATTTTTAAATTTTGACTAATTACCGTGGGGGGTAAATGATTCTGAACAGTTTTTACTTTTTAGTAGAAGAGGAGGAACGAAATTAGGGATTTAATTAAACACAAAACCTCTGCAATCTTTCTTCTTCTTCTCCGCAATTCCCATGGCCTTACGCAATGGCTCTGTCATCCCTGGTCCTGGCTACTCTCATAATCCATCCAATAGGGAGGAGCAACCGTCGTCGGCGACTATTCCGCGGCTGCCCCAGCTAAAGCGACCTGAACGACGAGGAGAATCGCCGGCGACTGTCAAAACCGTGCCTAAAAACACGGAAATCGCGATCGGTCAATCTAAACATCCGCAGTTTCTGAAATCAATCGACGATTTAGCTGCGTTCTCAGCTGCAGTGGACGCCTTCAAACGCCAGTACGATGACTTGCAGAAGCACATGGATTATATCGAGAACGCTATTGAATCCAATCTCAAGAGTAACGCCACCGCCATCGCCGCCTCTTCCTCCCACTCACCGGTGTCGCCTCCTTCTGAAAAAACCACCGCAATTGTGTGCCAATCGCCTCCTAAAGAGACTCCTGAGACAGCACCGGAGATGCCGACTATGTCGGAGGCAGAACGATTGTGCGAGTCGATGTGTAGCAAAGGCCTGCGGAGATACATATACACGAATATCTCCCACCGAGCTAAGCTAATGGAAGAGATTCCTGCAGCTTTGAAGCTAGCGAAGGAGCCAGAGAAGTTGGTATTGGAATGCATTGGGAAGTTTTACTTGCAAGGGCGCAAAGCATTTGCCCATAATTCGGCTATGATCCCTGCGAGACAAGCTTCCCTTCTCATCCTGGAGTGTTTTCTTCTGATGCTTGATCCTGGTGAAGAGAAGAAGAAGCTCAAGCTGAAGATTGAGTCCTCTATAAAGGAGGACGCCGAGGCTGCTGCTTTTGCGTGGAAGAGAAGACTGACGAATGAAGGAGGAGTTGCTACAGCAGAGGCAGTTGACGCAAGGGGTTTGCTTCTGCTGATTGCTTGTTTTGGTGTTCCTTCAAGCTTTACTAATATGGATTTGCTGGATTTGATACGGCAGAGTGGTACTGCTGAGATTTCGGCTGCTCTAAAGCGGTCACCTTTTCTTGTCACTATACTTTCAGGTACCATGTTCTTTCTTGACTCGATGAATTTCCACTGTAAAGGTGGTTTTTCTAGTTATAGAATCATTCAGCATCAAACTAGGAGTGAACATTGCATTTTAGAGTGCAATGAGAGGAAATAGAGCTGCGCATTCACGAAACTGTTGTTTGTTAGAACCAAACGAGGTGCTATTGCATTGAAATTAGTGTTTGCTGTGACTTTGCTCTTGCATACTAATTTAGCGTTGAGCAGTGTTGATTAAGCTCTTGAATCAATATTCTTATCGGTCATAGGTATAGTTGATTCAAGTATGAAGCGTAGATTGCCTATTGAAGCGTTGGAGATGGTTTACACCTTTGGGATGGAGGATATGTTTTCAGCTTCTTCACTTCTAACTCCATTCCTAAAGACGAGCAAGGAGTCATTTGACAAGGCGAAACGGAAAGCTCACTCACCTCAAGCATTTGTATGTTTCTTCCTTTTGCACATTAAGTACCTTCCTTTCCTCATCTGGAATCTAACCATTGTTGTTGTCATCTTTTACTTTCTCTCAACAGAAAGAGGCGATTGAGAAACATTTAGCCGTGCTGTTATCGGTGATGCAGTGTTTGGAGACTCACAAGTTAGACCCTGCGAAAGAAATACCAGGGTGGCAGATCAAAGAGCAGATGGTGAAGCATGAGAAAGACATCCTTCAGCTCGACATACAGATTGAGGAAGAAAGATCCAACAGGTTAATGGAGGAAGTGGCACAAACCAAGAGACTGTATGACCAACAGATGAAACGTCCGAGGTTGTCAGACATTGAAATGCCACCAGCACCAACAGCTTCCTCATCTTATTCTCCTATTTACCATAGTAATCGGATCTTTCCTAGTCACAAAGACGACGACAAAGACGAAATATCAGCTCTTGTGAGTAGTTACCTCGGCCCGTCATCGTCTTTTCCTCATCGCTTGAATCACAGGAGTTCACCGGAATATATGGTTTCTCCGACTGGTGGGTTAGGAAGAAGTGTATATACGAACTCTTACTCTCCGGTTCCAAGAAGACACTCTCCGGTTCACGGACAGAGACTTCCTCGTGAGTACTCTTCTCCGGTTCATGGGCAACAGCAAATACCATACGGTCTACAAAGGGCTTACAGAGATTCACCACCAGTAGAAAGATACCATCACAGGTCTCCTAGTAACTCATCACAAGACCACATAGGAGGAATGTAATTATGTAACAACAAAAAACCTTTGTTGTTTAGGCAGTTTTTCCAAAGAGTCAAAATTTTGTTTAAAGTTTAGGATGCTAATGTTATTACTTGTCAGTTTTGTTTAATCAATCCTCAGATACATCGATATCACTATCTAAGTAAACCTCAGGCTCTTCAACATCTTGATTCTCTTCATCTTCTGTATCTGATCCTTCTTCTTCTCTTTTGGTTGCTCGAGCCATTGCAGATTCTAGCCTTGTGCTTAGAGTTTCCCATGACACAAGCTTCTCCATGTATGTGTTGATGTATTCAGCTCTTCGGTTCTGCGCACAACACAACACAAGACAACATTAGAACCAACTGCTTTCGAAATTTAGTGAAAAAACATCATTCGGCGTTTGATGGTTAATAATACCTCGAAATCCAGATAGTAAGCGTGCTGTTTTGGTATAAAGAGGAAACAAAAACACTAAAGTCAGCGATCAAGAAACATAATCTTTCGAGGTGAAATTTAGACAAGAGAGAAGAGGTAAATCTTTGTTATTATACCTCCCAGGTATCAATGGTGAGAAGTGGCTGCACATAAAAACGTCAGACAAATGTGTGAGCCATCAACAAAGTTTCATCCTCAATTCTTCATAGTTAAAGTCTAGAGACTGTTGACCAAAAAAAAAAAAGTCTAGAGACTTACAGAATAATCCCATACGAGCGGATTTACTGCATTGGGAGTTTTTACTATTACAAGCTTCTTGTCTTCCTCCTTTGGGAACGGATTTACAGCATTCGCAACGTCAAGTCTATTCGCCTTGTCTGCAACATCAATGGATCCCTAAGTAAGTAAGTAAGTTTGGGGTTTGCAAGGGAACAAACACAAAGTTAAAAACACTCACATGCAAGCCAAGTCCAACCCGAACCAAAGTTTGAGGCTGCAGCTGACTTGAACATTCCCAAAAATTCATCAAAAGACCCGAAATCTCTCTCTATCAGTCTGAGGAGATCTCCACTTGGCTTTCCTCCACCTCCAGGTTTGATAGACTCCCAGAAGAACTCGTGGTTCCATGCCTGCAAATCCCCTCATTCACATTCACCACACATTAAGATATCTTGCCAAAATGACCGAAACAAAATGGATAACGTTTATTCATGTTGGTCCAATCCAAGGTTTGCAAGAAACTAAAACGCATCATGTCAATGCATTTAACCAAGTGATTTCTTGTCACGTCTTAATATATGTAGCTACCTATGGCAATACATGTACATAACCTTTCACAAATCTGTTTGATAGACACTAGTATTTGGCGTTACCTGTGCGGCGTTGTTGAAGGCAGGAAGCATATTGCCTCTGTTGTACGAAAGAAGCACAACCTCATCCAATGACAACCCATCTAAATCTGTGCCTACAATCTGCTTGTTCAGGTTCTCTACGTAAGTTCTGTGATGTTTTCCCCAGTGATAATCCAAGGTTTCTTTGCTCATATGCGGCTCCAGAGCATCCTGTTAAAGATCAAGATGCCCAAAAGACAGACACAGAGTGAGAGCAAACCCAAACATTTCTTTCATTTTGAAGTGTCCTATTTGTTGTTCTCACATTCATCTCTAAACCATATTTTGTTTCGTCAGTCTTCACAGTCTTATCTAACTACCGTATTGTCACCACAAGATGGTGCAAACACTAGTCCAGTGATAGTATTTTATATCAACCAAAATTCAAACTTCAAAAGATGGGTCTTTTCCAAATCTTGATAACGAATTCAAGAATACGTACAAGAGGATATGGAGGAGGCTTCAGTTCAAATCCCGCTGTGATAACACCAGAAACAGCCACCTTTCTTGAGAACCGTCTCTGTGAGATAAAAACAGAAGAATAAGATGAGAAACCAACACAAAGTGCTTTAATTTGACCAGAGTAATAAGCTTAAAACAAAGTTTCAAGTTTCATTCAAGCATTTCGTCAAACACTATCTATGCATAGTTCAATGGTCAAGTGTTTCCTCAGCTACTCTCCGTTTATAATTGTTTTCCTCTGTAATTTATCAGTTGATTCGAAGAGACAAGTTTCAAGACCGACCTTTTCGTTTCTTTTCCATTGCATTCGCCTGTTTGGCCCTGTAACTTTCACCAACAAAACCCATGTAAAAATCAAGTGTTCACAGTGACGGAGAAAGAGAAAGAAAGATTGAAAAATGAGAGACCTTGAGAAGGAAGAAGAAAGCACGACGACGAGAGGGATGAGGAAGTGGCTGTCATCATCTTTGCTCAAAAGCGTTACTGATGATTTGATTGATTTATTGTCTGCAACTAAATATACAGACTGAACCTTCTTATCTCATGCTACACATTGCCCCAATTATACCTTGAATAATTATGGGATTTGTGGAAAAAAAAAACCAAACTAAATTATTTTGTAAGAAAAACTGTAAATTAAATGCAAGTCAATAATCACCTCAAAAGTCACCCGCAATATAGTTCATGCATATATTGATGACTTGAATATTGTCAGTTTTTTTTTAAATAAGTTTTTATGTAAAAAAATCTCGAACTATTTGTTTTTGCAAAAATAGCTCTCATCTAAAAAATCTGTGTTTTGACTTTTGATTATCCATGTGCATTTCGGGTATTAGGATAGGAATTGATGGGAACAGGACGGGAATGAAAAATTTAGCAAACTAAATATGATACCCAAAGTATTCCCTAATTATAACGGGACATAAAATAATGAGAATGAGAAGGGAACAGAAAATTGGAATAAAAAATACGGAAAATCGAAGATAGTTCGGGAATTTACGGAAAAATACGGGAAATTATGGGAAAATTCGGAAAAATAAGGGAAAATTGGGATATATATATATATATTTTTTTTTAAAATCTAGTTTTCAAATTTTTATTTAATTTTAAATGGAAAAATCGGGAAATCTCGTACCCTTCCCGAACCCTTCCCTTACCCGTTTGAATAATAGAAATGATCTCAAACATATACTTGCAAAATTCTCATTCCCGAAAAGTTTGAGAATTTTTAAACGGGTAAAGGTGAAAACGGGATTCCCGTCTCGAAATGTACATGGTTAGCATATACCTAGATCTCATATTAAGAATCATACCTAATATTATCATGGTTAAATGTACATGGTTAGCTCCGGCCGTCTTTACATTATTTAGTTATTATCTCATATTAAGAATCATTATTAGAGAAAATTACATTCAAATTGACTTTCTCACTTTACAATTAAATAAAGAGGCACTTTTTGAAAGTGGTGTACTTTGTCCTAAAGAAAATACAGCATTGCCCTTATCTCATTCTCATTTATACTTACAATAATTATTTTTATATTTTTATCATTCTTTTTTTGCAATCCTCTTTCTCTCTTTTTTCTTCTTTTTTTTTGACAACTTTCTTTCTTCTTCTCTACAATCTTCTTCTCCACGATTTATTCTTTTATCTTCTCAATTTTTCTCTTTCTTTTTTTTCTCTTACGCAAGAATCACAATTTTCAAACTACAACCATTATCTCCTCTCACCAAGTTTTATATAATTTTCCAACTAAATTTGATTATTCCAATTAAAGAATCGACTCAAGTAAAGACAAATCTTTCCCAGATCCAACAACTGTTCTTGAGTTACTCCGGCGAGTTTATCGGCTACAGATAACACAAATTTACGACGGCGTCTGTGGTAAAAAAAACTTCTTTAAACGTAAAAAGAAAAAAAAAAAAAGCAAACTTATTCAAAGGATAGTTTTGGAATTTCCCATTTGTTTTTTAAAGCAAAGTCTCATAACACAAAGTGTCTCTAAATGTTATTAGAAAGTGTATTGCCTTTGAGTTATTTACGCCTAGGGACACTTTATGAGTTTCGCTTAACAGAAAAAAACACTTATGGATTGTGATGCACTTTGTTAGCCTGAAAAGACAAAACTACCCCCTTCTTTATTTCTATAACCATTTTACCTCTATTATTTTACATTCTTTTCACCGTTTCTAATTTTCTTTCTCCTCCGCTAATGAAAGCCAAGTTTCACCGTTTCTAATTTTCTTTCTACCTCCGTCTTTACATTATTTAGTTATTATCTCATATTAAGAATCATTATTAGAGAAAATTACATTCAAATTGACTTTCTCACTTTACAATTAAATAAAGAGGCACTTTTTGAAAGTGGTGTACTTTGTCCTAAAGAAAATACAGCATTGCCCTTATCTCATTCTCATTTATACTTACAATAATTATTTTTATATTTTTATCATTCTTTTTTTGCAATCCTCTTTCTCTCTTTTTTCTTCTTTTTTTTTGACAACTTTCTTTCTTCTTCTCTACAATCTTCTTCTCCACGATTTATTCTTTTATCTTCTCAATTTTTCTCTTTCTTTTTTTTCTCTTACACAAGAATCACAATTTTCAAACTACAACCATTATCTTCTCTCACCAAGTTTTATATGATTTTCCAACTAAATTTGATTATTCCAATTAAAGAATCGACTCAAGTAAAGACAAATCTTTCCCAGATCCAACAACTGTTCTTGAGTTACTCCGGCGAGTTTATCGGCTACAGATAACACAAATTTACGACGGTGTCTGTGGTAAAAAAAACTTCTTTAAACGTAAAAAGAAAAAAAAAAAAGCAAACTTATTCAAAGGATAGCTCTGGAATTTCCCATCTGTTTTTTAAGGCAAAGTCTCATAACACAAAGTGTCTCTAAGTGTTATTAGAAAGTGTATTGTGTCCATATAGTCTATCATCTATTGCTTGAATTTATGCTCAATTTACTGATTCTTGGTGCAGCGTATCCTTTATTATGTGTATGTCCATCAAGTTCATATCCAAACCCACGTATCCACATGGATAGTTCTCTTAAGCGCTTGAGATTGTGATATGCTTTTTTTTTTTCTTGCATTTTAAACTTTTTGTCTTTTTCAAACCAAATCATGTTTTGCCTAATCATACTTCCATGCATGTGTCCATCTGGATATCAATAGTTACAATCTCTTCGATTTGTCTCGACAGAAACAAGCAATGGATGCATTATATGAAGCTATATAACTAATTTTGCCTTCTTTTTCTTATTTGTTCGATTCATAACATCTTCATTTTATTAAACTTTTTGTCTTTTTCAAACCAAATCATGTTTTGCCTAATCATACTTCCATGCATGTGTCCATCTGGATATCAATAGTTACAATCTCTTCGATTTGTCTCGACAGAAACAAGCAATGGATGCATTATATGAAGCTATATAACTAATTTTGCCTTCTTTTTCTTATTTGTTCGATTCATAACATCTTCTCATTCTAACCTGATCTATAACTAATGTTCTTGTTTCATGTTTGTTTGGACCAAGAGACAGTTTCCAAACTTGACCTGATGATTATTCATGGGCTTTAGATACGTGTTTGTGTGGATACGTTGTGGTGGAATGTTTGTGTGGGTACGTTTTATGAAGATCAAAACATGTCAGCTAGGTCTAGCCTTGATGCTGCCGACAATGCTTCCTCACACTGCTTCAAAATGAGCATATAAGGTCAAATGTTTCGAAGGAGACATAGTTTCCAAACTGTATCTGGAGAATTTTCATGTGATTAAATATGATACGATGGATACGTTTTAGTGGACGTGTTTTTGTAGATACGTTTTATGAAGATCAAAAAGACAGCAAACTTGGATTCAAAAATATGTAAATCCAAAGAACTTAAGAGTTTAGGATGCAAAGAGAACATAATAAACCACTAAGAGACAAGAACAAAGGTTTCACTAATAACATCTAGTCTCAAATCCATTTAGATGTATTCGGAAATACATATACATATTCATGCTCATTTATCAAGTGCATAAGTAAATGTCCATACCATCCACCCCCATCTGTCTATTTTATTGTCTCCATATGGTTCACAATCTACGTCTTTGAGTTTGCTATCGCATTCATTTTGTTATGTACATACGGCTTTGTCCATTTTGTTATATACATATGGCTCTGTCCATTTTGTTATCACATTCATCTCAAAATGGTATCCATGTGGAAGAGTTTACATGCCTTCCAAAGCTGGCACATGCACATCCATATTTATTACATCCATGTGGATGTGCTTTTCCAAAAACTTAGTTTTCTCATCAACACATTAGTTTCTCTCTACAAAAATGTATACAATTTTGTAGCTTTTTGTGTTGGGAATTTGTAGCGATTAGGAAGATCTTATTTTCATTCTTAGTGTTTGGAAATTAATAGGTTGATACTTAGATTATCCATCTGCGGTTTGGAAGAACTTGATTGCATCTTTTTCATGATAAACCCAGGAAATCGCAATTGTATCACTAGCCAACACCAGATGATGATGAAATTGCATATTTTGATTATTGTTGGGATTATTGTTGAAATCTCATATTCCAGTTAAATTGATGAATCTCCTTTAGCGATTCATGTCGATTTTGATTGTTCCCGGGCCATTTTCTCGAGTTTGTGTTGTGGATCTGGAGTCTCGTGTAATCTCTATTAATTGTCATAGATTCTCCGACATGGCTAAGTCGCCGAACTCAATCCCGAGAATTCTTACTTTTTAAATTATCCACAAGATTGCCATGTCTGTGTGTGCTAGATCTTACAAAAATCTAAGCCGCAAATACTAGTTGGGAACGCTCCGGCGAGGGGATACGTGTGCAGTAAAAATAGTTTCACCGAAATGAGGACATGGTTAAAGAGAGGGTCATTTTGGGACATAACGAGCACAACAATCTCAATAAGTGCACCTTAAACGGAAAGTGTGTGTTCGGTGTTAGTAAACTCCAAAAAGTGCCTCTAGACGTAAATAACTCCAACTTTTTGCTTGTGATGCACTTTTTTTGGTGTTGTAATTTTTTAATACCATTGTACCTCTTATATGAGAAACGTGTGTCTAGTCGAAGGAGTAAGGGAATATAATTGAGTTAGTGGTAAGATGTTCTGAACCATTTATATAATAAAATATTGTAAAGATCGTGTGGCTTAAAAGAGACCAACTAAAATGAGTTTGTTTAATGTGAAATTATTTATTTTATTCTGATATGTTTAAAGACGAAGAAGAGCTTGATCCGCCGTCTCTTTTACATAACAGCGGAGACTTTACCAATTGAATCTTTGCTGAACTCGATTCAGATTTGATGTTTTCAATTGCAGAAGACGATTAAGATGATGAAAGACATGGAGAAGCAGAGTGGGAAGTCTCAGATGGAGATTTCTCCTACCTTTATCGATATAAAGACATTTTCAACATGTTGTCTAATTAGACCACGAATTACAAATGTCTGGAAGAGCTCTATTGCTATTTCGCGAGGCAATCCATATATGTCCATGACAATGTATCCACATGTACAAATAGATGATTACTTTTGTTTTTCATCCATAAGATTGTGTACATAATAACATGTCCACTAAAAAAGTATCCACGAGACTCATAACACAGATTCCCTATATGGATAAACATAGCTAAACAAGCCATTTTCAGGTGACAAAATAGATTAATCAATTTACTGATCCTCAAAATCAATATTTTGTACATTTTTATGTGTCCGAATATATGTCCATACATTCTTTGTCCACGGCATAATGATCTATGTGAAACACCATAAAACTCTATCTATGATACTCTCTTCACAAACATTTGTCCATAAACACTTGTCCACGAATACATTATAACATATAGAAAATCCAGATTTCAAAATGCCATCTCATGAATAATTGGAACAGGGGTTCTTGAATTTTAATTTCGGCCATAAAGTTGAAATCAAACACAAAATTTAATTTCTAAGAAGAGAAAAACTGATTCATTGATAAGAAAAATAAAATTTCTAGGATGCATAAAGTAAAAGACAAATAATTACTATAAGAGGAAGATATGGGCTATCGAAGTTAAAACCCAATTATACAGATAACACAAGTAACTGTACGCAAGAAATTCTATATCGATAATCCATTTGGAAGATTTCGTCGTCGAATTCGTCGAAAAAATTTCTGCTGGCTATGAGACTTCGTCGTCGAATTCTGTATTGATAATCGATATGGAAGATTTCATCGTCGAATTTGACGAAAAAAATTCCGCTGGCTATGAGATCTCGAATTTTTTTAGTTTTACTGAAGTTTGGAGAAGATGAATCTGGGTTCACTCGTGATCATGTCCACATCTACATATCCACGCAGTCGTGTACACGTCGTGATGCGCCCATCTGAACGTCTTTGTTTGGATAATTATTTTGGGATATGAATGGATATGGCATGAGTCAAACTTCATCATCGAACTGGTATAAGTTTCGAGAGTTATACGATCAATGTCTATACGATTATGTCCAGATTAATGTTCATATGATCAATGTCCATACAATTTAAGACAACTATCACAATTTTAAATTTCATTCAAATTTTGGTTTATTAATACAACTTCATTCATACAAACCTATCTATATAAACTCATCCATACAAACATATCCATACAACACGCGTGTGGATGATCTGATGTGGATGCTTTAAAATGATGTCAAGTGAAACCATGTCGATGCTTTGACAAATTTTTAAAACTTAACGAAATATAATAAAGTGAAAGTATTATGTGGGATAGTACAGATTACATTGTCTTCATGATAACGATATCGTGGATATGCTCGGGTATCTGGTGTAATGTCCGTTGTTCAATATTCACTGGACATGTCCTTGTCCATAAGCTCGTGGACAGATTTGGAATTAATGAAATGGACAACCGTGGTTATATTTTCATTTCATGAGGGGATGGGGCAGCGTACACGATGCGAAGTTGGCCAGACCCCGTTTCAAGTTTCATTAGTACAACATGCACAAAATTTATGGACAAATGGTGATGGACAAATATCTGAATGAGGGAATGGGTCAATGTACCTGGTCATATGAGTACATATTGTGTATTGTTTTTGGATTTATATGCAGAGCCTGGTAAGTTCGCTGGAGCAGAAGATTGATGAAACAGAGAAAAGATTCAAGGAGACAAGCAAAATTAGTGAGGAGAGGAGGCTGCAGCAGGCTTTAAACGCTGAAGCCAAAATTGTTAATTTGAAGACCGCAATGCACAAGTATTTACTATTGGTCTCTTAGCTTTTAGGTTTCCATAACTCATTGACATCTCAACATATGCACTTTTTCTTTCATTTGCAGACTCGAAGAGACATTAGAGGATGTGAAATATGAAACCAAATTTTAAAGAAATCTGTCTCAAGCACACCTGTTAAGACAACATCAAGACGTTTCCTTTCTACTCCAGTAAAGGTACTGTATATATATCCAAGACAAACTGAAAAATCAATTCCATGAAAAATTATGTCTTTGATTTGCCGTTTACTTTCACCTGACTGTATATCCTTGAAATCCTTCCCTGCAGGGTGCTGAATCAGGATCCGACACTAAGTCGAGGGGATCCCATATTGATCCTCAACATGTATGTTGTTTAGTTTAAATTACTTAGATTACCTGCTTTGTTGGTTTCGATAGGACTACAGGATTTAGGCGGGATAATTGTATAGGCTTTTTCCTGAGTTAGGGTTTTGGGAACAGTATTTTCTGAATCCACATCAGGGGACGGAGAGGAAGTGGAGGTCGGAGGGTCGGTATCTACCTGAGGCATCTCAACATCAGGTGGAGACAGCTGAGTCACTTCTGCTATCTCAGTAGTTGGTTTCTCTCTTTTGGGTTTAGATCCATGAACAGTAATTTGTGGCTTGGGAGGCACTGCATTGCCTGTGGAGGTCATTGCAGCGGAGTTCTTGGTGGACTGTGCTTTATCAGCAGCAGTAGTTGCGGTTTTGACTAGACCAAAGCTTTTTTCCACGGGCTTCTTTGACAGAGGAGTTTGTGGAGGAGATCTGGGTTTCTTAGGGTTTGGGACCGAGAGGGGCGGGAAATGAGAGATGGAGAGGGAGGTCGGGTCAGGTGGATATGGAGGGACGAGGGGAGGGGGAAGAAGATCTTCACCAGGGGCAGGAGGCGCATGATTCAGGGTGGGAGCACGACCATTCGCGAACCAGCGGTTTTGCATTGGTAACCGGGCCAGAGAGAGAACTCTTGATACTCTCTTTCTTATTTTAGCTTCATGTTTCGAGTCTTGTGGAAGCCTTTGTCCTAATAAAAAATCTTGGGACTAAGAAATAATGGAACATGAACCAAATTGTATGAATATTCTTTATGTCCGAAATAAGACATAGTTAACTAGATAATATAAAGGCTTTCGTGCGAGTGGATCTCACGCGCCCGAAAGTTTTCTCTCAAAAACTTCTCGGCGTCTTCTTCTCTTCTCTCCGCTTGAGGTCTTCTCCGGTGCTCGGTATTTCTCGTCGATGCCGTGAGGGGACCTCCCTCTTCTCTATTTGCGTTTAAGCTCTTCATTGACGGTTCGGTAGCCCAACGACATGAAGATTAGATCCAGTTTTTTCTCCGGCGGCGATGAGCGTGGATAATTGGTGGGAGGGGCGCTGCGGAAGCTCGGGTTGCTCAGTGAGGTTGTCACTAAGCTCTCGATGGGTGAATCTCTGCTAGAGAACGGCGGAATAGCTCGGAGGGAGTTTGGCGTTAGCGGATATGGGTTTCGAGATGTGTTCCTCTTCGCCGGTTCGGTGGGTTCGCTGCGTGTCGTGAAAGCTCCGGTGGATGGTGGTGTGGAGACGCGTGAGGATGGCGGGTCCTCTGTCGATTCACTAAATCCCGATGCTGGTTCGAACTTCCGACCAGGATTGAAGTTTCTAGGGTTTGCGGAGGAGGAGGATAGAGTAGGAAGAGTGGTCTCGTCTCTGGTGGTGGAAATCTTTGTCACTAGTGAGCTGGTTGGTCTTTGGCTCTCAGTGGTGTGGCCGTGGGGTTATGGACGTTTACTCACACCAAATCTGGAAGAAGTGTGACGGCCCGGAATCTAACCGGATACCTACCGAAAGGCGGAGGCGGAGACTCTGATTGAATAGGAGGTGGTTCAGAGACGGTGAGGGGCCGAGCCTTCTTTTCTCCGCCGGAGGAGAGTGTAGAGTGGTCTCTCTTTTACCTTTTCCCATCTTAGAGTTAAGCCTTAGAGATTGTAGTTCTGCGATTTCGTTCTGTTTTCTCACCGTGCTTTTGTTCGATTGTCGGAAAATGTAACCGGCCGATGCCCTTTTTCAGGTTGAAATATTAATATTTATATATTTTATTTCTTAGAACAAAAAAAATATATATATTTTATTTAAAAAAAAAAAAATCTAGTTAAGCATCTGTACTGCGCACTGTTCTGTCACTTAGGTCCATGAACACAAATTTATACCCACTAATAAAGCTGTTTTTTCACCTTAATCATTTATATCTCTCTGACGATGATATGGGAAACTAATAATCAATTTTAAAAAAAAGATTTAAAACCCGGAAAACAAAATCAATTGACACAAAAAGTCGAATCTCCTACATGTTGGTGGTGTAGGGAACATGTGTGATTGGAATCCAAGTATCACCAAGTAAGAATCTGCAGCAAATGTATAGAAGAGCCTCTTGGGGCGAGAGTGTCTTGATTCCGGGCCATTTAACTCTTTGGGCCTGCCTAGACCCAAGCCCAACATTCAAATGCTCAGCGTAGTATAGCGTCTCCAGCGCAAACTCTCCCTGCCAAGGAAGCCATCCCGCTGGATCTATGACGTCATCGATCATCGTCTTCATGATGATCGTCCTCGAGAACTCCTGCCACGGCCTTCCTAGGTATGCTTTGTTCACCGATCTAAACGGAATATACGCCGGATCTCCCGTTATATGGCAGTTATGGAGTACGAATCCCGACGGCTCACGGACATTTTTGCGCCCCTGAGCGGTGATCATACACGATTGACCTACGTTAGGTTTTCGGACGACGATTCTACTGTTCTGGATGAAGCAAATCGCGTCGCCGAATATGAAATCCACGGTGCCGGAGACTGTACAGTCACGGTAGAACTGTCGGTCAGAGTGAGCATATAAGGTGTCTTGGTAGCCGTCGATTTGTGATATACCTCTAATTTACCCACTTTTTATACTGTTTTAGCATTGTTTTCTAATGGTTTTTGGCAGGTTTTCTATCTAAAAAGGTAGTTTTACTGTGTTTATAGTGTCTAGAGTCTAAACAGGTGAAATGATGCATTTTGGAGCAAAACCATAGGATTTGCACTTCAAGCCGCTCCATGCACAAGCACCAACTTTAAGAGGGCCCAGAAAAAGATCTACTCAATGGATTTCATCAAGACCAGTTCCCTGCGTGCTCTGATTGAGTTAACTTTCCAACGCAACTGGAACGGCCTAATTTGGATGAGTAGAAAAGGAGTTATAACCAAAAGAGTGAGACTGTCCAGACGGCTCTATCGAGAAACAGCGCCCAACCGCGCAGTCCGGCTGGCCGAGAAACTATGTTCGCGCTCGGCCAAAGTCACATCCGTCCGACTGAAGTCTCGGCCAAAGTTCCAAACCGACCGGCCGATCACGCAACGACCCGGGAAACATTGTCCCGCGGTCGGCCAAGCCAAACGCTCCACGCCACGCCGCGCACGACCAAAGCGCGCGAGCCGGGAACAAGCCTCGCGGCCGCGCAACCTTCGCGTACCACGGCCGATGCATCCGTCCGAGCCGGGAAATAACGTCCCACGTCCGGCCGAGATTTCATCGGCCAAATCTCATCCGTCCGACCACGCCGGCCGACCGCAACATCCGGCCACGACCGTTCCGACTCGGCCCACGACCCGACTGTCCGGCCGATCGTCCCGACCGACCGTCCCAACGCCGCGGTCGACCCGAAGCCCTTTTCATATTTTCAAGCCCGGCTTAACCCTAAGCCGCCTCTAGAAAGACCTAGCACTATATATATATTTTTAGCCTCTTGTGAAAGAGAGCCGCCCTTGTATTTCGATTTCCTACTCTAAGTTTTATTGCAATCATGTTTTCTTCATCTCTATGTGTGTTTGCTTTGATCATGTCTGAGTAATCCACTAGTTAGGTTGCTAGGGTTACTATTCAATGAGTTGCTTGCATGATCTTTGATTTCAATGATTAGCTAGGGATTATATTAGAGTCTTTGTCTCGTCTTGTGCACTTAACTAATGCTGATTGCTTTACCGCGCATCTAGTAATCCGATCTTAGGTTGATTTGAGCCTCGACAGTGCTGTATCATTCGCCGGACATATTCTTTGACAAGCTAGGTTTCTTAGACTGCGAAAGTTGATCTATCTATATCTAGTGAACTGTATCAGAACCTATTCATTCTAATGCTTGATCTAATCACCTAGGGACATACCAAAAGTTTAGCGACTAGGTAGATTAGCAAAGGAGCCGGAGCCTCGAAAGTGGAATGGTTTTATATTCGTGATCTGTGTTCTAGATGGTTCTTAATATCCCAATATCCCTAATCAATTAATCTATCATTGTTTCATTGATCATTGCTTGCTTCTCTGCGATAGCCCCTATGACCTAGCGCTTTTCCTTTATTGATTTACAACCTCGTTATACTTGCTAGTTCGGTTCACCATTACAACCTCAATCATACTTTTGTTTTAGCTTGATCCAAAATCCATAGTTTCAAAGTGTACTCAATAGCCAGTCCTTGTGTTCGATACCCATACTTCCGCGATCTGTGCACTTGCAGAGGTCTAGGAGTTTGGTAAAACCTGACTCCGCATCAAGTTTTTGGCGCCGTTGCCGGGGACTGCAGCAGTACCTTTGGAACTCGACTAGGATCTAGTCTAGAACCTTTTCCTGTTTTACTTTTCTTTTGCTTTTGAATTTTTAGTTTTTGATTTCCTTTTCTTTGATTTTTACTTTTGTTTTTGTTTTTCCCTTTTGATTTAACTTGTTTCCAAGACTCTTTTCAGGTGCATGACTAGGAGGTCCAACAAGGACAACCTAGTTGAACATCCAGAGATAGACAAGCTTGAGAAGCAACTTAGGAAGCAGAAAGCCCAAGAGATGGCCGACGAAGCAGCTCGCGCTCACGCCGCTGAAGTGGCGCGCGCTCAAGAAGAAGGAAGAGATCCACCTCCTCCTCCTCCTAATCCACAAGACCCTGCTGGAGATGTGAATGCACAACCTCAAGCTGGAGCACCTACAATCGGAGACTATGACTCTGCCGATGCTTTCTTCATGGATAGAAACCCTATCCATCCACCACCCCTGCAAGGAATGACTATGAGATCAAGCCTCAGATCATAGCATTGGTTAGACAGAACCAATTCAATGGACTTCCAGCTGAGCACCCTCTTGATCACATAGAAAACTTTGAAGAAATTTGCAGCACTACAAGATCCAATGGAGTCTCTGCTGACTACCTTAAGTGCAAGCTCTTTTCATTCTCTCTTGGCGACAAAGCTTCAAGATGGTTGAAGTCTCTGCCAGCTCACTCCATCACCACTTGGGATGAGTACAAGGCTGCATTCATCAACCACTTCTACACCAAACAGAGATCAATTTCTGTGAGGAACAAGATCTCCAACTTTCGCCAAGCCAACAATGAATCTTTCTATGAGGCGCTAGATCGATTCAAGGAGTACATTAGGGACTGCCCTAATCATGGTTTCAATGAGGGAAACCTATGGAACATCTTCTATCGTGGCATAGACCACAAGTACAAGCTTTCATTGGACACTGCAAGCAATGGAAACTTCATGACCAAGACTGTTGATGAAGCTAAGGTTCTTATTGAGAATCTTGCAGCTAGTGATTGTAACAACTGTCCTGATTATGACCGCTCAAGCCGCACCACTACTAGCTCCCCTGATTCTTTTCAAATGACTGAACTCAAGAACATGATGGCTCAAGTTCTTAAGGGACAGCTCAAGCATATCAATGCAATAGAAGGGATGAGTGATGCTAATGAAGATTCATCAAGAGAATGCATGGGAGATTTCTCTAATGAAGCCAATGAAGAAGATGTGAACTACATTGGAAACTATGGGAACAAGGGATACAATCCAAGCTATCGCCCAAACCCCAACATGTCTTATAGAAACCCCAATGTGGAGAATCCTCAAGACCAAGTGTATCCTCCAAGGTATCCACAACAACAAAGACCTCCTTACCAATCTCAAGGAAGTCAATTTCAGCCAAGGCAAGGATATGAGCAGAGATCATCATATCCGCCCAAGGAGCCATATGCTTCTTCACCAAATCAAGCTCCTCCAAACCAACAAGGTGGGAGATTTGAAGGAATCCTCCAACAGATCATGGATGGCCAGAAGAGAAACACTAAAGAGATGTATGAGAAGATGGACACTTTGTTCAGCAATCTCAACACCAAGTATGATGCTGTTGCCACTCATGTGAAGAAACTAGAGACTCAAGTCACTCAAACTATGGAAGCTGTTAAGAGACAGGAAGCTGAATCCAAGAAGTCCTTTTGCAACTCAGCCGCCATAGAAGAAAGATTTGAAGACCAAGTTCCAGAATGGATGCTTTCAAAACCTACTGTTGATTGCATGATTTGGCCTGAAGAGAATTACCCAGAGAGAGAGTCCAATCGAGCTAGAAAGAGAAGACTCTTCCCAAAGATTATCCCCAAGACAGATAACTCAGGAAAGTTTGTTGTGCCTTGTATCATCAAAGGTAACATTCTTGAGCAATCTTTGTGTGACACAGGAGCCAATGTGAACATCATGTCTAAGAGGATAGCTGACAAGATAGGCCTCACCAAGATAGAGCCATCATCCATCTCCATCAACTATGCTGATTCATTCTCACAAACCCCTATGGCTTTGTGCCTAATGTGATGGTGCAGATTGGAAATTGCTCTATCCCTACTGATTTCCAGATTGTGGAAATGAGAGAGAGTAGCCATAGACCTCTCATATTTGGAACCCCTTTCCTGTCTACTGTGGGTGCCATATTTGATTTCCCCAATCAAAGAATCTCTTTCAACAAGGTGAACAAGGGTATGTTCTTCCCTATGTGTTCAACAAAGAACTCTTTTGTTGACATGGTCCAAGAGGAGAAAGCTACTTTGAAGCCACCCCAAGAAGGAGAAACTGAAGAAACAATCAAGGAAGATCCCATTCCTAAGCCCAAGCAGCTTGCCAAACAAGCAAGGAGTAAGACTAAGGCCCCTACACCAAAACCGCCCAAGGGATCAACCAAGATTGAAGATGAGGCCAAGCCAAGAAGGAAGGTTAGAAAACCTAGGTCTGGCCGCAACATGAAGCTTCTATTCCCAAAGGAGCTTATTGATGAGAATCTAGAAGGATTCAAGGAGAAAGTGACAAGAACTCTAAAGCTTTTTCCTAAGGCAGTAGTGCCAAGGGACATTCATGGAGAGATTGTCTATCCAGCTGTGAATCACCCACCAGATACTCATTGCAAGGAGAAAAGACTTGGAGGATCAAAGATGCCTCTTGTCTCCATCTTCTCCTGAGCGCCAAGCCTTACAGTCAAGCTAAAGACTTAAAACAAGCGCTGCATGGGAGGCAACCCATGAGGTACTTTTACTTTTCTTTCTTTAATTTTCTTAGTTTTTGTTTTGCTTTTGTGTTTTCTTTGTTTTAAGATAGGATAGAAGGAGAAAAAGGTGTGAAAACACAATCCGCGCCAAAACATTGGCCGCGGACGCGCAAAAGTGATTTTGGCCGAGCAATTCCAATCTGGCCGACCACGGTCGAGCCGGGAAGGAACGCCGTGCTCGGCCGGATTGATCATTGCGCGACAGAAACCGTTCGCGCGACGCACGAACCGGGAAAGAAGGCCGCGATCGGCCGAAATTTTCGTATCGGAACGGACCGACCGTGCCGGTCGATCCGGGAAACATACGATCGGCCTCGGCCGAAATTCTCGCCAAAACAATTTGGCCGACCAAATCGCTCGACCGCGACAAAATCCATCGGCCATCGGCCCAAACTTTTCTAGGCCAAGGTAAGTCCCCTTTTCATTAATTCAAACCGGTTTTAACCAATCTAAACCAACTTAAACCGGTTTTCAATCAAAATTCGAATTTGAAAAGGAAAATTGATAGGATTAGATCTTATTTACTTCACCTTTCCCTTGAAAACACAAGAACCTCTCTTTCTTCTCCAAAACCCTAAACTCCATTAGAGGAACTCTAAGAGTTTTGATTTCAAAACTTTTACTGTTCATAACTCTAAATTGGAAATTACTTGCTCTTGCAACCTTATTCACTTTTCAACACACAAGGTATGTCTTCTAACTCTAATCCTATGTTTATGCAAGATCGAAAATCTCAATAAGTTTCATGTTTGGTCTAAACTCTTGTCTAGACTTGAAATTAGCATCCTTATAGTCTTGTAATGAACTTTGCTAGGTGGAACCTAGGTGGTTTAGAGTTAATTTGAAGTTTAATTTCACAATTGAATAGTTTTTCACAAAACTTATTGGGCATTCCAAACCCCTTATTCAAAGGTGAAATTGCTTAGCCATAGGCCCTATTCGGGGAACAATCGCAGCGATAGCCGCTGCGACAAATTAAAACGACGGTGACCGGCAGCTAACAATAAAGAAAACGACGACAATGGAGCTAAAATGATGGTGATGAGTTGTCGCAGGAGAGAGAAAAGGGGTCGCAAGAGAGTGGAAAGTGTCGCTGAAAATCTATAGCGACTGTTACGGATCTTGCGACTACACACGCGACTACCATTTTTAAAGAGCAGCGGCATCCTACGTCTCCGTCTGCGTGTATTTTTTTGGTCGCAGCGACAGTCGCTGCGATTGTTCTCCGAACAGGGCCATACTCAAATTCATTAGTTTATCTAGCGATTACTTGGATTAGAAACTCAATTTCTCTTGATTTGCTGAAAATTTTGATTTTAAGCACCATAATCTTGGGATGAACAGTAAAATCCGAAAATTAATTTTGAAAAAGTGAAATTTCTATTTTGTCTCTTTGATTCATGATTAAGCCTTGAGTTGTTCCTTTATTCCATATCATTATTACAACTCAATTAGCTTATTCTTCTTTTGCATTAATCACAAACTCATATTTCTCCCAAGAATTTGCTCTTGTAGGTACACAATGGCAAAGACAAAAGGAAATGAGAGTATGAAGAAGAAGAAGAACCCATTCATGGAACCACCAAGAAACAAATCAAGCTAGGGAGTAGTAGCTCCAATGCTAAGCAGCAATACCAACTTCACCACATTCCATTGATGCAATCAAGAACATGTGGAGAGTCCAAGAAGAGGAGAAGATGATTGGGCACTTGTAACCTTTGTTGGAGAACAAAATCAAGACCCAAGAAAGTGTAAGAAGGCAATGGAGAAGGTGAACATCGAGCCATGTGTGAAGATGGACACCCAAACCCTTGATCTTCTCAAGATAAGAGATGATGTCACATGGTACATAAGGAAGCTAGGCTTGAGCAAGCTCTTCAAGCTAGAATGTAGTGAGTACTCACAACTCACCAAGGAGTTTCTCTCCACAGTAGCTCTTGCCTTTCCCAACCACAATGGAGACCAACCAGCTGGTGATGGACTCCTACTCTTCAAGATAGGCGATGCCAATGGGCGCATCTATCTCAGCTCTATGCCAACTCTTTGGACTTCCCAATGAGACAGCACATGACTTCAAGGAGAACTCAAAGAGGAAACAAGCTGCCTTTGCTGATTGGACACACTTTGCCAATGAACCATTCTTGCCTTCAAGGTCAAAGGTGTCTAGAATCACCCATCCAGCCATTCGCTATGTGCACCGCCTCATCTCCACCACTTTCCAATGCAAACAAGAAGCCAACAAGGTCACAACTGATGAGTTCTACATCCTCACCACACCATTCATCAAGCATGAGTACAAGGCCAACCTTGGACTTTTACTTGCCAAGACATTCATCAATGTGAGGAAGCTAGCTCAAGACTTGGAAGGCAACAAGAAGCTTTGTGTTCGTTTTGGGAGGCTTATCACGGCCATAGTACTGCATGTGGGGATTGACATTCCCAACTATGAGCCACTACCCAAGCCAACCCCTTTGGATCTCCATGCTCTTCAGCACATCCACTTCCTAAACCGTTGGACTAAAGACCCAACTCGGTTTTGCTATGAGTTTCCAATTGGTCCAGCCAACACTTCCCTTGTCTTGCTGCCACATGAAGACATCCCAAGCCTACGCTCAGGAGTTGTCACTTTCCAGCCCAATGAGGAAGAGTTCTATGTTCCATCAAGTGAGAAACCATCATTCCCCATGCTCACCTATCGCACACTTCAGCATGCAGTCAAGACTCAACGCCGCCTCCAAGAACGCCATGTTCTCACTACTGGCATGGCTGCGCACCAAGCTCTAGACCGTGTTAACAAGCTGGAGAAGATAGTGGAATGCCAATCTCGCTTCATCTCACGCCTAGTCCGCGTAGTTCGCCACATTGCACCGGAGAGACTCTTTCGCCCTTCTTCCACCGCTAGAGAGCCATATGAGCCTGACCTTGGTGAGTTCTCACTAGACTCAGAGCTTGGTTCAGAAGGCGATGACCCCATAGATGAGGAAGAGAGTTCTTCTCACTGCCACACATAGTCATCTCAAGTGGTACTTAGTGCAATGGACACTTACAAATCTCCATTTTCTATCCCTATCTTATTTTAATGAATTTTTCTTTATTTTTCTTTTACTTTGAATATTACCTCTCACCTTAATGTGATTTGCTTTCATCGGGACGGTGCAAGTTAAGTCTCTACTTTCCTAAGATAAACGGTCCTAATTATGTGTCCTGGTCAAGCCTAAATTAGTGAGCTGTTCAAGCCTTAAGCAGTGATCTCAGTAAGTGGTGATTGAGGAGTTGCTCAAGTAATTACAGCAATCGGCGGGAAGTTCGGGTCCCCTCTTCTAAACTTACCTGAAGTTGCAATCATCAATCACTCTTGGAAGAATCGAGAAAGTTCCTAAATTCTCCGAAGATGGAGCCTTTTATCAATTAGTTAAAGATAAAGCGCTAAGCCTGATAAAACAAAGCGCTGAATGGGAGGCAACCCATTGAAGGTCATTTCTTTTCATTTTCTTTCTTTATTTTTCTTTTTTTTGAATATTACCTCTCACCTTAATGTGATTTGCTTTCACCGGGACGGTGCAAGTTAAGTCTGGGGGGAGTTTTATTGTGTTACTAATGCATTTTTCTTTCTTTTCTTATGTTTTATTCACTTTGTTTCATGTTTTTCAAAAAGTTTTATTGAGTCAAAAACCAGTCCGGAAGTTATGAACTTGCTTTGAGAATTGAGAGTGTTATGCTAACAATCCATGACCCTAGAGCAGAAACCAGCTAAAGGCACAAGCCTAACAGAAGCTCTTACAGTGGATCGACATGCTAGCTCAGCAAAATTTCTAAGGTAACCAAGCAATCTAGAGTTAACCTCACCCTTAATCAATCTTAATACTCTTGTCAAGGGGGTTGGCATACATGTCGACAGTTCCTTGCTTGATTTTCAATAAGATTTGTCTAATCTTTAAAGAGTTCTCCTCTCTCTCCCATCCCAAATGGTAAGTAATGTTTATGAGAAAAAGCTCAAAGAGCACAAGGAAAACAAGTAAGCATGAGGAATGCATATGTCTGTACCTTCATGTCTTATGGAATACCTTAGTCAAACAAGGAACAAGCTAAAGACTTATCCTGTGGTTGAAAGAAGGGTCAATAGAAAAAATAAAATGATACCCTAGAAAAGTAGGGAGAAATTGACCTTTCAAAGTTCTGATGTGAGAAAGAGAGAGGAAAAGAACTCATTGCACTTAAAGACAATCTTGGAGAGATCAAGTGGGTAAGAACAAGTTCAATTGATCGATGTCCCCTTGATAAAGAATTCACGCTTTAAATTTATGCAAGAGGTTAGCAATAGAGAGTTTGGATTGCTGGATGAGACTAGTTGGGTTGGTATTGTTCGCTAAACTTGCAGGGTGTATGTGAAGCTAACCTTATGTTGTCTATGTTCATAGTGGAATACAGGAAAGGAACCTTTCACAGGATATTCAAAAGAGCAAGGGAGTTCCACGTTTTCAAACCTCTTTCACGGATTTAGATTCTTTTTGCTTGAGGACAAGCAAAGATCTAAGTCTGGGGGAGTTGATATACCTCTATTTTACCCACTTTTTATACTGTTTTAGCATTGTTTTCTAATGGTTTTTGGCAGGTTTTCTATCTAAAAAGGTAGTTTTACTGTGTTTATAGTGTCTAGAGTCTAAACAGGTGAAATGATGCATTTTGGAGCAAAACCATAGGATTTGCACTTCAAGCCGCTCCATGCACAAGCACCAACTTTAAGAGGGCCCAGAAAAAGATCTACTCAATGGATTTCATCAAGACCAGTTCCCTGCGTGCTCTGATTGAGTTAACTTTCCAACGCAACTGGAATGGCCTATTTGGATGAGTAGAAAAGGAGTTATACCAAAAGAGTGAAGACTGTCCAGACGGCTCTATCGAGAATCAGCGCCCAAACCGCGCAGTCCGGCTGGCCGAGGAACGAATGTTCCGCGCTCGGCCAAAGTCACATCCGTCCGACTGAAGTCTCGGCCAAAGTCCAAACCGACCGGCCGATCACGCAACACGACCCGGGAAACATTGTCCCGCGGTCGGCCAAGCCAAACGCTCACGCCACGCCGCGCACGACCAAAGCGCGCGAGCCGGGAAACAAGCCTCGCGGCCGCGCAACCCTTCGCGTACCACGGCCGATGCATCCGTCCGAGCCGGGAAAGAACGTCCCACGTCCGGCCGAGAACATCGGCCAAATCTCATCCGTCCGACCACGCCGGCCGACCGCATAACATCCGGCCACGACCGTTCCGACTCGGCCCACGACCCGACTGTCCGGCCGATCGTCCCGACCGACCGTCCCAACGCCGCGGTCGACCCGAAGCCCTTTTGAAGCCCAATTTCATATTTTCAAGCCCGGCTTAACCCTAAGCCGCCTCTAGAAGACCTAGCACTATATATATAGCTTTTTAGCCTCTTGTGAAAAGAGAGCCGCCCTTGTATTTCGATTTCCTACTCTAAGTTTTATTGCAATCATGTTTTCTTCATCTCTATGTGTGTTTGCTTTGATCATGTCTGAGTAATCCACTAGTTAGGTTGCTAGGGTTACTATTCAATGAGTTGCTTGCATGATCTTTGATTTCAATGATTAGCTAGGGATTATATTAGAGTCTTTGTCTCGTCTTGTGCACTTAACTAATGCTGATTGCTTTACCGCGCATCTAGTAATCCGATCTTAGGTTGATTTGAGCCTCGACAGTGCTGTATCATTCGCCGGACATATTCTTTGACAAGCTAGGTTTCTTAGACTGCGAAAGTTGATCTATCTATATCTAGTGAACTGTATCAGAATGAATAGGCTCAGTGAGGCTGTCGTTGATGGATGTGTTAGTAAAGTTGAAGCTGAGTTTGATGAGTTCGAGAGGCTCAGTGGATTTTGGTGAGGCCTCCATTAACCTTTTGACGCAGAGCTCTTTGAAGTCGGTTGGCGCACAAACTGCTTTAATCGCTTTGCTGTTTGTGTTTTGCCTCGTCTCATTATCGTCGGGCGAGTTTTTAGATGTTCCCACAGCTACAAAGACAACGACGATGATGACTAGCAAACCAGTGGCACTACCCGCGATGATGCATTTCCTTTTCTTGTCACCATCAAACCCCATTTTTCGAAAAAGGGTGTTTCTTTTGAAACAGAGGAAAGAAGAAGAAGAAGAAGAAGAAGAAGAAGAGTTGGAGAGTAATTTCTGTATGTTTGACAAAGGGAAAAGCTTACATCTTTATACACAAAAACGTAAATTGGGGTCTCTACTTTCCTAAGATAAACGGTCCTAATTATGTGTCCTGGTCAAGCCTAAATTAGTGAGCTGTTCAAGCCTTAAGCAGTGATCTCAGTAAGTGGTGATTGAGGAGTTGCTCAAGTAATTACAGCAATCGGCGGGAAGTTCGGGTCCCCTCTTCTAAACTTACCTGAAGTTGCAATCATCAATCACTCTTGGAAGAATCGAGAAAGTTCCTAAATTCTCCGAAGATGGAGCCTTTTATCAATTAGTTAAAGATAAAGCGCTAAGCCTGATTATGAAAATTCAGGTTAACATTGCTACGGATCATAAAGTTATAGATGGAGCCACGGTAGCTCGGTTTTGCTGCCAATGGAACTGGAGTTGCTAATGGTTTACTTGTCAAAAATTATACATGAAAAGACGTCGTTTTGGTCTATTGAATTGTGTTTTGATGACCGGACATCGAACTCATCATCGGTTAACGGGTTGACCTGCGAAATTATGGTCAAAGTATGTATATGCCAATTTCGGTTAGTTCATGTAAGAAACAGATGAGATAAATGAGATTGGGTATGTATTGGCACAGCTCTTGAGCATAAAAACGGAATGGGACCGTGTGGCTCACGATCGTTCCCGCATTGAAATAAAAAAGCTGGAAAATATATGTAATTTAGCAATCAACAATGAGCCAGCAACAATACATACTTCATCTGTGACTTTAGAAGTCAATATGAGAAGTACTATAGTTCTCTTTTTGATCGTCGATTTTTCTACTAAAACTAGGGGGTGACCCGCGCGCAAAGCGTGGAAATTTATATTATTGTGTTAATTTTTTTTCCGCAAATTTAATTTATTTAATGGTTTATTATTGTTTCAAAAATATTACACATATTAATTAAAAATAATTAGGGTTAGGCAAAATTAACATACCGTCTTGTCCCATCGTATCCCATTTCGTTCATTTTCATCATGTCTGTTCTTTCTCGTCCCATCCGTCTTGTCTGTCCCGTCCCGTCCTATCCCATTATGTTCCTTTTTATTTTGTTATGTCCCATCATGTTCCTTCCGTTTCTTCTCGTCCTGTTCCCTAAATATAACTAAGGATAGGCAAAATTCTCATATAGTCCCATCCCGTCCCATTTCATTCCTTCTCATCTTGTCCGTTATTTCCCGTCCCGTTCCGTCCTGTCCGCCTATCGAGTCTCATCCTATCCTATTATGTTTTTTTTTTTCCGTTTTGTCGTGTCTTGTCCTGTCCTAAATATAATTAGGGGTAGGTGAAATTTCGTCCGTCCCTTCTCGTCCCATTATGTCCCTTTCATCCCGTCCCGTCCAATCCCGTCTCATTCCGTTTTTTCATCTCGTCATGTCTAATTTGTCTATCTCGTCCCGTCCAGTTTATCCCGTTTCATTATGTTTCTTTCCGTCTTGTCCTATCTCATCATGTTCTTTCGTTTTTTCTATTCCGTCTCTAAATATAATTTGAAGTAGGCAAAATTATGTGGTATCCCATTCCTTTCTGTTCTTTACATTTCATCTCGTCATTTAATATAATAAGAAGTGGACAAAATTCATTTCTTCTCTCGTTATGTTTTTTTCGTCTCATCCGTCGGTCTCGTCTCATTTCATCCCAAAATACTTAAAAAATCAGTGTTCTTTATATAATATATTTGACATCAACGTAAATTATATAATCTATTTACTAAATAATAGTTTTTGTAGATCTATACATAATCTTTCTCCTTTTTAAAAAATGACTTTTCATATTCTTGTTAAACTTATTATAGTAATGAATGCTAATTATTATGAAATTAAAATATTAAAAAGAAAAATATAATAAATTAAATAAAGTGCTGATGTGGCGAATTGGAGAATTTAGGAGCAACCATAATAGAGAAACATGAACTTTATATATATATTTGCATATACGAAAGAGGTAAATTACATACATGGTTGAACACTTTCTTTGGACTCCGAAATGTTAGATACTAAAATAGAAATAATATAGGGGGAATTTTTCAAGATAGTACACAATTTGATATGAAATGCAAAAGTAGACCCCTTATTGCACTTATGTCAAAACTAGTCTTTTGGGCATGCCAAATTACAAACCACATATTTATGAAAAAAAACAAAAAACGAGAGCCATAATGTCTGTTCTACCCTTTTAAAGTCTAATCATGAAGTCTAATTCCTAATCACACCTTAAATTTAAATTATAAAATTAAAGAAAAATAATTTGATTAAAAAAATTATACATAAATAAGATGAAAACATTTTGCATCCATTAAAAATAAAATTGCATATAAATGAATCCATTTAAGTCAACTAAGATATTAGGTCTACTCGGAAGTCTACTATATGGTAAAATCTTAAATTTTAAATTTTAAATTTATAAAAAAGAAATTGGTAAAAAAAGAAACATGTACTATCCATGTAAAATAAATTTGCATATAAACTGATCAGTTTAAATCAAGTAAGACAAATTATGGTATAATCCAAAAAAAAATTGTGTGAAGTCTACTGAAGAAGTCTGCTTAATAACACAATCTAAAATTTAAAGTTTAAAATCTATAAAAAGAAATTTTGATAAAAAAAAGTTATACATAATTTAAATAAAGACAAGTCCTATTTATGCAAAATAAAATTTCGTGAAAATTAATCAATTTATAAGTTTCATGAGTAAACCAATCACCAAGCTTAGTGTTTGAGGTATATTGTATAGGGTTTATAATTGTCATTGTTAGGGTTTAGATAATTTTGACAAAAAAAGGTTTGCGGTTCATTTAACGATTTAAAGCTTACCAATTCGTAGTTTATAATGTAAATTGTGATTATGTGTACATAATTAATGTTTTCTACAATCTTGATCTTAAAAATTCGTTTTAGGGTTTAGGGTAAGTTAGACTTCATTCGCCACGAAGTCTAACTAAAAAAAAAGCAAGCGGGAAACGAAATATTTTGGGCGGGAACCGGAAATATACCCAAACAAATTTCTGACTATAAATAAACCTCATGAGTAAACTTCAATAATCTCTACTATATTATTTTAGACGTCAGTTTTTAGAGATACCCGAAAAAGCCTTTTTATTACGAAAAATGCCACTGAGAACACGACCAAAAAATGTTTGGAAACAAGAATAGCAATGGCAACTCCGGATAAAAAAACGAGTCAAGCGAGTTCGCTCAGTAGTTACCAAAAAACCCGACCCAATATTGTCGAAAAAAACACGCGGGTTGGAAAGAACTTGAAATAAACCGGCTTCTGAAAATCACATAGAAAATCTCGGTTTTCAACAACCCGAGTGTACCGAATTCCACAATCAATGATGCGAATATGCGACGTAATATTCTCAATAGAACGTGATTCATCTTTCTCTAATTAAACACGTAATTTTAGTGGAGATACTCGCGAGATTATAGGGATATTCTCAACACAATCAACTGATTTGAATTATATTATAATTCGCGCCCAAGATATGGAAATCATATATTCCTGCGGTTACGGAATTAGAATAGTAAGATATCCTCGCTTCTTTCAAATTATTTTATTTTTTATAAAATAGGAAATTAATTCAAAATACGAAACCCTAGAGTATCTGCGAGTCCACCATTATAAAATGAGCCAGGTGAAACCGTAAATCATTCACGACGAACAAAAGCGGTTATTCATAATACTAAAAAATTGAAAATGGCAATGGAGATCGCGCTTCCGGTTTCTTTGTGCACGTCAGTTAAGCCGTTCAAGACTGGAAGGAGGATTCAAGTGAAGATCTTGCATCTAAGGAAGTAGTACGCCACGACTTCCGGAGAGACCCTTGAAATGATACTTTGCGATGTTGAGGTAATGAGATCCCGTCTTACAATCTCATTGAATATCTCCCGTTAGAAGTTGAGTACACTTTTTCGTTTTCTAGGGAAACAAGATCCACAGAAGTGTACGGAAGCAGGATGTAAAGCGCTACGAGAGGTATCTTGAAGTCGGTGCTTGGAAGTTCATACAGAATTTCACGGTGGCGCATGCAACCGGCCACAACCGCACAACCCCGAACCCTTACAAATTAGCTTTCATCAAGGAGACGTTTGTGCTTCCATCAACGAATCTTGGCGACGGTAACTACTTGATGTTGGCCAGTTACAAGCAGATCCACGATGGCAAAGTGAATGAGAGCATTTTACATGGTACGGAATCTAACTATTGTTAATATACCCGAATTTAAGTATACTTTACATCATGATTTTGAATGAGATAATGAAATACAAACCGATAGGGAAGCGATCTCCATTGTAGAATTTGTAGATGCAATATTTGAATTTGTACGGGTTTAGTTATGATTTTATATTGTGGATCTGTGTAGACATAATAGGTCAAGTCATCAACGTTGGACCGATGGAAGAAGTTGATATGCAGAACCAAAAACAGAAAAAACTGGAGATAAAACTCGGGATGGAAGGTAGTTATCAATGCTTTCAATGATTCAAATAGTTTTAATATAAGCTCTAACAATAGTTTGCTGATTAAGTATTTTATTTTTGTGGTTAGTGATGATCGCATTAGATGTACTTTGTGGGGGCCAATGGTTGCGGATATGCTCATCGCCGCTGAAGGCATTGGTGAAGACAAATTGATTTGTCTACTTCGATGGGCAAAAGTGAGGGAGTTCCAAGGTATGATAAATGGTTCATGCTTCTCAAAATATTGTTTGTCCTAGATTAGTGTACGAATAAACTAATTCTAACTGTGTTACTTTTGGTGCATGATGAAGAGGTTAAGAGTGTGTCGAATGTCTACAGTTCCTCCGTGATACTGATCAATCCACCGTATCCAGAAATAATAGATTTCGCCAAAAGGTTAGAAAGTGCCATAATTACCTAACTTTTAGTTAATGTATCAAAGGGGTTAAGTCCTGATCAAAATGCCACATTGTTTATCATTGTTTATCTGTAGCATCCCAAATGATGGCCTATTGTTGACAATTGCATTCAGCAAACCTGATACTCAATTGGTTGTTAAAAAGGAGCAAGAGGAATACTGGGATTTGTTTCCAACATCGACCCTTTGCGAGGTTCTTGCTTTAGATACCGTAAGATTTCATTATCCGAATAAGGCAACATAGAAATATATTGTTAATATTATGTTCATTTTGTCTAACGTGTTATTGTAAATCATCTTAACAGGTTGCCACTGCCAAAATCATATGTACTGTGTACGCTATCGACACATATATGGGGTGGTACTACATTGCGTGTCCTAAATACCAGCACAACAAGGTGAAGAAAGTCCTTCCTGGTCCTAATCAGAAGGTAGTCCCCGGTTCCAAGCAGAAGTGGTTTGTCTTAAGTGTAATGCAAACATTACCAATGTTGTAGCGAGGTGATCACTTTATTTGTTTATTACTAAGTTAACAATATTTTGGCATTGCTGAGAAAATTAAAACCTCACCATTTTTGGTATAAACTTTACGTCGCAGATACAAGTTGCATGTCAAGGTGATGGATAGCACTCGGGATACCAATCTCATATTATTTGATTCCCTGGCAAAAGTGATTGTTCAGAATGACGCATTAGAGTTACTTGGCGGTGTAATCGACGAGGTACATTTTCGGAAGCGCTTTTTAATCTTTTCGGTAAAAACGTTTAGTGCAAGTAATTTGTGTTTTCCTTATTGTCCTTTACAACGGGTTTTATGACGTAAGGATGTACCAATTGATATTACTTTGACACAGCTCAAAGATCCTGAGGACTTGCCTGAAGGGTTACAGGCTTTGTGTGCAATGACATTTCAGTTTGTAATAGCCGTCGACAAAGATAATCTTGGAGGAGGGCATAACACTTACAAATTCATCAAGGTCCTTTCTACACTTGGTATGATTGATGAAACTGAAGCGCTCACCGAATCAGCTAGGGATGTTACTCCATCTGAACTCATTTCCGGTGAACCGGTGATACATGTCATCTATAATATTTAAGAGCCTTTTGCGAAAAATGAACTTCCATGTTTTGTGCTTGACATTCGTTGCGATTTTAATTGTTTTGTCTATAGTGTTTTGATGTTGGAAGACAGCAATGAAGTCGTTCTTGAAGAAGGGACGTTGAACGAAGGTACGCCGATTTCCAAAAAACGTGGCGAGAGCGGGGCAGATGGGAGTTTGACGGATTTGGAAAGTTCAAACAAGAAAGCACGTCTGAAAGAAGTGAAGATTGAGAAGATTGAGAAGATGAAGGGAATGGCGTAGAATGAATGGTGGTGTCAAAGTTTTTAGCATTTGTGTTTCTGTTTTTACAAAACAAACACCAACTATCTTCCTGTTTTAGTTCGATGTTTGTTTTCATTTTACTATTTGGATTCAGTTATTTATTTAAGTTGTCATTTTACATTTGAATTTTAAGTTTAATTTTAAGTTATGCTAATTTCTTAAAATTGTTTAAACTGAAGTTTGCAAATTTAGAGCTTTGTGCACTAATGCAATACTCAGATTTTTTGGACCTATAACAATACGGGAGATTTTACCTCAAGGTCAAATGGTTGTTTAATATAATTAAACCGGAAACATAAAAAAAATGGGAGGTCAATAACTTTGGCGTTTCTAACACGTCAAGAACCCATCAAAAAAAAATTCAAAGTTTATATGTTTTGTGAAACACAATGACTTAGGCACCACAGTCTACACCTGCCAAAAGTATTGATGTGCCCTTTCAAGGCTTAGTTTCAAAATTTTAATTAAAACTTTTTTTACTTTGCAATTTCATTTATTGTAAAATGTGTTTATTTGGTAAAAATTAAATAAAATGGAATTGAAACTTCATATAACGAAACCACAAAAGCTACATTGAAGCCCTAAAACATTTTGCCTGGAGAGAGACTGAGTTGAAATAACTTCCACAAAAGCTACATATCCAGATTGAACCAGTTGAATCCTCGACGTTCGAACTGGGAAATCATGGTCACTGGGAAATCATGGTCAAAATCTTGAAGAAGTGGGTAGAGATTAGACAGTATCGACCATATGTCCTCCACTTCCTGCTTGTGGATCAACAAGTAAGCGATTATCTATCATTGAAGTTTATAGGGAAACAAGATTACCCTGTTAAATTCGAATAATATTTAGTATTTTGCTGACAAAATCATCCCTCATGCATTATTAGATGTCTGATTAGTGGACAATGTTTTATTTGCTTTCTGTTTATATCATATCAAAGAAGAAGACCTAAACATGTCCAAATTATAGCTAAAATACCATAAATGTTTTTTTATATCTTTTGCTTCCAGAGGACCAAAATTTATGCCTATGTCAAAATCGATCAAGAGTTGTTTCAATATTGGCATCAGCGCATGTACGAGGGTCAATGGAAAATTCTGAAAAGATTCAATGTGGTAAACGCACCTGAGTCGGTAGGACGGTTTGCGGATAATCCCTTTGAGTTAATTATCAACGAACATACGGAATCGGATACAGCTCAGGGACCCGACCTTCCTCACTACATGGTGTTTAAAGATTTCAAACAAGTTAAGGCTGGTCAGCGCTTGACACCTAGTCCATTAGGTAATGTATCCAGACTCCGAATTCATGAATTACTTAAATCTTGGAATAGAGATTGATAGCCGATTGTTAAACCGGGTTAAATAAGACAACTCCAAAACTTCTTCCTTCTGTAATAAAAAACGATACTTTGTTGAAGAACATAAATCTTCGTCATTGAGTTTCTGGGTTGTCATGTCCTGGGTTTCTTGTTTCGTTTTGCTGTATGGAGATTCTGCAAATTGACATTTTAATAGCATGTGTTTAGTAGATTCAGTTTTCTGTTCTGTTCAACCCTTCTGGCGACACTTGAAATCGGACTCCACCTGGTTTGGGAAAGCCGAGGTAATTGTCTTTACCTCATCCTCAATCTCTCTTCCGAAACAATTTTGATAATTTCTTCTCCATCATCCTATTCTTGAGGTCTTTTTTGATTGCCGGGGAAAATTTGTTTCGGGTTATGGTTCATTGATCATTTGACTCACACTTATATAGCAGTAGGTATGTAGGGTTTCTCATTCGGTTTATTGCTATTTCACAATTGGAAAATTTCCAAATATTATTGGATCATATTTCTTAAGTATCAAGGCTCTTTTGATTTGATATTATCGTTTCTATGCTTTCTCGTTTATGGAATTGAAGTGATTAAGACGTGCAATATATTCCGATTTTATTGCCTTTTTTTTTCTGAACGACCCGATTTTATTGCCTAAGTTGTTATTTTTCTATTAAACTTGTTTGATTCCATTTAATTGTTTCCAAGATTTGGTGTTATCCATAATATTAATTTCGGTTTCATTTAACAAATTTATGGCATTATCTTCTTTTTTGGAAATATGATCGATATATTAGCTTTTTAAGGAGACGAACCGACTTACAAAAAAAATGGTTTCGGTTTGACAGAACCGTTAATCAGATTCTCATCTCAACATATGGTTTAATTTAAGTGAACAAAGATCCGCGTCCTATTTAGTGAGTTAATGGGTGGGTTATACGCGATTTAATGCTGTTTGGATGGTTATTCGCGAGTCACCGAGTTAACTCAGCCGAGTTGACTGTTTGTTTTACTAAATTACCCCTCCTTATACATGTTGCCAAACATTTTTTCTTCATGAAGGATTGGTTTTTTGGTCCAAAAATTGTCAATGTACTTCTCAATTAATAATAAAGAGATGAGATCTAGCAAATATGGCGAGCTTCCTCAAAAAAAAAACATTACGAGAAGCAATTTACAACACTATCAAAGCTCGTTTACAATTTCACATATGAATTACAAATATATATACTATTATATAATGATTCATACTATGAATGCTGTAATACACTTTTAGTGTTAAACATACTTTCAACTCACTTAAATATTATATAAAACATCATATACGAGCCTGGAGAGGAACATATCTAAAATAAGCACTCAACTAAAAGAGAGAACAAACTAAGCATTATATCTTATTCGTTACAAATACTACAATTATATTTCACTTTTGGTTAACATGAAATTCTAACAAAAAAATAATATTACAAACTAAAAAAGGAAAATAAATAACAAAAATAAACTATTTGTACTACTCCAAAAGAAACAAACTCTTGTTCCATTTGTTAAATATTTAGAGAAATTTTACCCATAATATTAAGAGACTTTTTTACTTATATAAAATATATAAACAAAACAAAATAATATCAAGAATAAATAAAAAAAGTTTGAAACAAAAACCCGCATATCGCGCGGGTGCTCTCCTAGTTAGGTTAACTAGTCACAATTACGGGGTAATCAATAAGCACACAGACACGGGTTCAGTTTTCTTTTAAAGCTACATTTTAACAAAACAACCTTTGCTGATTATAAAATCACAAAAAAATCTTTTAAAAACACTTGAAACCGTTTTAAAGAAAACAAATTTTCTTTTTGTAAAGCCAATAAAACGTGGTTGTGACCCTTTTTTAATCTACAAGCATTGCTTTACATCTAAACTAAAAGCTAAAAGCTACAACCCCAACCAATACAAAAATAAAAACGGTTACAAGTAGTAAAGAAAAAAGATTACGTGTGGCCAAAGCTAATTAGTATCCTTACTCAATTGGTTTCCTATAAATTTGACCACATAGCCAATTACTTTCATAAAACAAAACAAAAGCTTAACAAAAATATATATTGGAGTTCTCAAGTCCTCGCTTGTTGCATATTTCCTAATATATCTATCATATCGATGAGATGAAGAGTGTTATTTTCCTCCTAGTGGCTACATGCATCACAACTTCTGTGAATGCACAACTACCCCCTGGTGTGCCAGAAATGCCCGACATTTATAGATGTTTATCAACACTGATCAACATTCCAGGATGCATTGCAGAAATCTCCGAATCCATTGTGACCGGCAAATTTGGTGACATAGGTCCTGCTTGTTGTAAAGCTTTCTTGGAAGCTGAATCCAAATGTGCGACAACACTTTTCCCCCCTATGCTAAGGCAGCAATGTTCCAGAATTGCTGGTCCTCCAACAACGTTGTAAGATAAGAAAGTAGTTATGTACAACTTCATTTTCTAAATGAGGGTTAATCCCATAATAGTTTTAGAAAATAAAAATAAGCAGCGATCTGATAATAATCATGCTGCCTTTCTTATATTTCAGTAATCATCTATAAAATCAAATACCATTTCATATAATTAATAGTAATGTCCATTTTATGAATTTGACAAGTAGAGCGGCTTCTTTTGATTAATGAATGAATCTGATGCATACAAATGATGAATGATTAAGTTTTTCAAGACCTTATTGGCTGATCCCCCAAGTGCAAGATTGCAAATCGAGTAGTACTGTGATCGAATCCAGTATCCACAAAGAAGCTAAGGGCTAAACACACTATATAAGTATCCAGAGAATACTCTAAGCTTTGGTTTGTATTTATACTTAACAACTTAAATTTGGAATGGAACACAAAAGTAACCATGTAAAAGAAACTAAACCTAACAATGAAATGAACCAAAGATGCAAAGTGTGTGACAAACGGATAAATAAGCCAAGATAAGAGATAGTCATTGTGAGTATGGACTTTGGATACGGTACGATCCCACGGTTGGTTATCAATGCTAAGATTCACAAGCAAATCATTTCCATGAGAATAGTCACGTAAACTTAGCTTTCTCTTGCAATCAATACTCTAACAAGCATTACAAACAAGTTCTATAAGCCTACAAATCACCTAATTATCAATAATCTCCATCAGCAAAGTATGAAAATTCTCAAATGAAACTCTTTTTCACATTTTCACTGATACCTCTCGGGTATGGAAAGACCATGTTCTAGGTTTTGGATGATCAGGCCTCAACCTAGTAATAAACCATGTTGCATGAAAACGGAAACGCGGAAACGAAATATTTTGGAAATGGGAAACGTCTTTTTTGGAAATATAAGAATGAAAACGTTTTGGAAATGTTTACAATATAAATATTGAAACAACCAACACATTTTTTTATAATAAATCCTACAAGTCTAGCGAAGGTCTTTAAAATAAATTAAATAATAATAAATCAAATAAAAATATCAATTCAGCGGAAGCAAAAACAATTAAATAAATAATTCTAACAATTTCAACAAGTTCAAAAGAAATAAGCAACTGATAAAATCATATCATCCCCTCTTCAGCCTTGATTCCACGATCACATAAACCTTTTACCTGCAACACATTGCGATAGAGTTGCGTAAGTATTTAAGAAATAATTAGTGAGGCAATCACCCTACCTACGGGTCAGTTACGCAATTACTAGTAATTTAATAATATTGATAAACCTCAATAATTATTAAATTCCATTTTCAATTATTAAATAATTCTCAATATTTAAATAATAATTTTTCATAATTAAATAATTTATATCATTAGTTTAAGCATTTAAATAATTAAATCATCCCTTAATTAAATAAATCCGAAATAACCATTAAACGAGATTAAATCAATAAAAACAATTCAATTAAACCGAAATTCACTTAATTTAAACCATAAATCAATTTCCAATTGAACCAGACTGAACCTGCGTCGGTCGACACCGAATTCACGAAACTATGCAGAAACACGAAATTAAGCAATCAAACATCCAAATATCACGAAAACAAACATAAACCTCATGAACAACCCAAGAACATCAACCAAACAATCCAAATCTAGTGAATTGCAAACCCATAGTCATGCACTCAGCTCAAATCGGATTGAAACAGAGAAAGGAGGAAGAAGCAGTGAAGAACAGCCACAAACAGATGCATATTCGCCCCAAGACACCTCGAATTCACCCAAATCGCCTCTAGAACTTCTCCTCTCTCACAAAATGACAAAACTCTCTAAGACTCGGCGGCTGCAACCTTTTAAATTGGGTCATAGGGCTTTCCCAGCCCTAAACCGGACCAAACCGAACTCAAATTAAACCGGTCTGATTTTGAAATCCTTGCGTCGACTGACGCAACCCTTGTGTCGCGCGACGCAACTTTTAAAACTTCCCAAAATGGGCTACGGATGTTGCAACTCTCCCCCACACTAAACTGGATCCGACCTCGAATCCCAACATAAAACGTCACAAAGACCGCAAAACCCGACCTCCCAAGGCCGTAACATTAGAGATCCTCACCTGATACCCGAGACTCACATCTAATCTTATGTTATACGCCAGTCTCTAGACATCTTTACTCTTAACTCATTACCTCAAACCATTTGTACTGGGGCCACTACACCCAGACAAGTCTGCACCTACCCAAACTGGGGCCACTACACCCAGGTGGGCTTGCCAACCGCTGCTTATACTGGGGCCACTACACCCAAATAAGTCAGCCACGACTTATACTGAGGCCATTACACTCAGCTAAGTCACTCATACTAAGGCCATTATACTCAGACGAGTCTGCCAGAGAACCAATGTCTCCAAAACCGTAATGAGTTATTCATGATCGCAATCATTAGAACAAAAATTCCAAGACGTCTATAACAATAAAATCAGAACTATCTCACGACACAAAATGGTCAAACACTTGTAACATCTGAAACCACTTTTCGCAACACAAGACAAAATGAGAAAAATTGCATCTCATATAACTCCAAAAATGTATATCGTTACAACTCAAACGAAAATACAAGACATAGCTCAAAAGCTAAAACAACTGGGAACTACAAAAATGAAAGAAGCTCACTCCTCGACCTACTTGTCGAACCACGTCCTGAACTTCAACTTGATCTTTGCCTCTGGCTCCCAAGTCTCCTCTGTAGAACCACTACAATCCCACAAAATCTTTAGCAAATATCCTCTTGTTCCTCAGAACCTTTTCCCTCCTCTCTAAAATCCTCACAGGCACTGCCGGCACTGTCAAATCTGGCTGAAGATCCTAAGGAATCCTAGCCACTAACTCCTTTGTAGGGTGAAGACACTTCCTCAGCATCGACACATGAAACATTTTGTGAAGGGCTTTCATAAACTCACGCAACTTCAGCTTGTACGCCAATGGCCCAACTCGCTCCACTACTGGAAACAGACCCATAAAACGCGGATTCAGCTTGTTCTCTGCTATGGATCTGTTAGAACCCCTCAACATAGCCATCTTGAGATACACTCTATCTCCCACCTGAAACTCAAGCTCCCGTCTGCGTCTATCCATAACGCATCCTGGAAGCAGTCTTCCGAACATCTGCCTAATCTATCGGGATCTGATGATAGCCCGACGCCGTCAATCTTGGAGAACCAAGTAGCACCCCTCAACTGATCCAACAACTCATCAATCCTCGGGAGTGGGTACCTAATACTCACAGTGACTCGGTTGAGACATCTGTAATCGATACAAAGTCTGAAACTCCCATCCTTCTCCTTCCCAAAAAACACCGGTGCTCTCCACGGTTAAACACTCGGTCGAATGAACCCCTTAGCCAAAAGGTCCTCTATCTGCTTCTTCAGCTCTGCCAAATCTGCTGGCGCCATCCTGTAAGGGGTCTTAGATATCAGTGCTAACCCCGGCTCTAACTCAATCATGAAAGGATCAGACCGAGATGGTGGTAATCCCTTCAATGACTGAAAGACATCCTCAAACTACTGAACTACCTGAATATCACCCATCGCAACTCCAGCTCCGGACTCCAACATCAAAATTGTCGCCAGTTACGCCTCACAACCCCGCTCCAACAATTGTTCAACCTAAATAGCAGATATCACGATGCTCCCGGAAGTCGGTCTCACTCCCTGATAAACCAACCTCCCTGCATCCCGCTCAAAGACGACTCTGCCTCTGTAGCAATCCAGATGAACTCTGTTGTACGACAACGAGTCCATCCCGACTCATGTGCTCTCACTAGCGCCCAAACTGGCCTCACCCGCCAAAAAAACCGACTGGGTCACTGACACAGTCGCCACACTTGGCACTGCACTCTCTCCCGAATCCGCCGGAAGTCCATGACCCCGACCTCGGCCGGCTTGGCCTCCAGCTTATGCATCTCACCGAACAGACGTTACGAAAGAGGTGATTGATGAAGAATTCAGAAAATAATGTTCACAGACGACAAATCTTAAATTAGAGGGATTGCTTACATAGGTTCCTAGGTAAAATGAGTCAATTTAGTTCTTTTTTTGTTTTATTTACTAGGGGGTGATCCGTTTTATTGTTTTCCGAAAATTTAATTTTGTTTCAAAGATATTATGCACATATTACTTAAATATAATTTGAGTTAGGCAATTTTTGTGTACCATCTAGTTCCAACTCGTCCCAGTTTGTTCATTTTCATCGTGTACGTTTTTTCCCCTCTCGTTCATCCTGTATGTCTGTCCCGTTCAGTCCTATCCTATCACACTATGATTCTTTCCATTGTGTTTATTATTGTCTTGTTCCATAAATATATTTAGGGGTATACATAATTCTATCCCATTCTGTTCATTTTCATCTTTTCATGTTCTTTCCCATCCTGTTTAATCTGTCCGCCCCATTTAGTCCCAACATATCTTACTATTTTCATTTCCAATTTGTCTTATCTTTGTCTCGTCTCTAAATATAATTAGGGGTAGGCAAAAGTCCCATCCCATCCTATTATGTCCTTTTTCATCTCATCCCGTCTAATCCGTCCCGTCCAATCCTGTCACATTCCATTTCTTTTCATTTTTTCCCATCCAACATTTATGTCTTGTCCTCTCATCAAGTTTTTTCGTTTTTTCCATTCCACCCCTAAATATAATTGAAGGTAGGCAAAATTTCCGTCTTGTCCGATTCCGTTCTTTTCTATTCCTTTAGATCTCGTCTCGTCACTTAATATCATAAGAAGTAAACAAAATTCCCTTCTCCAATTCTATTTTTTTTCGTCTCGTCATATTCAATCTCGTATCTTTTCATCAAAAAATACTATAGAAAAAAACAGTTTTCTTTGTATAATAATATCTTATTCTTATTATTATTATTCTTAAATAATAGTTTTTTTAAGATTTATATATAATATTTCTTTTCTTTTATAAAAATGACTTTTCAAATTCTTGTAAAAACTATTGTATTATTTAATAATTAATATTAATGAATGATCACAAAGAATTAAAATATAAGAAGAAAAAATATAATAAACTAAAATTAATAAATACAATGCTGATATAGGGAATTAGTGAATTTAGAGACAACCTCTTTTGGTGAAGTGGCAGCACCAAAATAGAATACCATTAACTACATATATATAGATTACTAGAGTAGGAGTTATCAGAAGATTTATATTATTGTGTTAATTTTATTGTTTTCTGCAAATTCAATTTATTTTTATGGTTTACTATTGTTTCAAAAATATCATACACACACTACTAGAAAACGTATAGTTTGCATCGGTTATTTAGCATCATTTACAAAACTGACTCTAAAAATTAAAAAGAGGGCATTTCTCGCATCACTTAACAATATTGATGCTAATATATTTTGTCTCGTGTCATTAATGTATAAATGACGCTAATGTATTTTGTCTCGTGTCGATAATGTATAAGTGACGTTAGGCATTGAATATTTAGCATCATTTACTTAGATAATTGATTCCATCTATCGCGCAAATTTTCAACAGTGAAATTAAAACACTCCATCGATTTTGAACAGTGATTCCATTTCAAATTTTCTCGTCTCAGTTCGAGCTGATTCCTTTTCTTCTTCATCGAGCTGATTTCCTTTTCTTCTTCACCGAGCTCGATCGTCTATTTCAATCGCTGATCTCGAATTTGTTTGCTGAATCTCGACGGTGTTTGGGTCATGTGATTCCATTTCAAATTCTCCGTCTCCTTTCCGATCATAGCAAATCTCATCTCCGATTCATCATCTCCGTTTGTGTCTGTCTCTGTTTCATCATCTCCGTCACGTCTCGTCACATCTACGATTCAAAATTTGTTAATTAATCTCAGGTGAGAGTTTCTATACATCCTTCATACTTAATTTGGGTTTTCGTTGAGAATTTCTCCATGGTCGCGTCTCTTTTGATTCCGGTTTTCGCTCCAGATTTGAGAAATGTCTTTTGATTATAAGGTGTTTGTCGAAATGTCTTTGAGAACAAGCATTGTAAATTGATGCCCTGTATCTCTGAGATTGTGCTTAACTAGTGATTTATTTTGCTTTCAGATCCGAAACCATATCAAATCAGCTCCTCTAGGACGGTTTTGCTGATAACAATCAAACCCACTACACAAACTTCGTTGAGATTTTGTCAAGGTTAGTCCCTTGATCTTATTTGATGGATTATATGTGTGCTCTCTGAGAATTGACTTAGACTAAGATTATCTCTGAGATATGGCAGAGAAGTTTCTGAAATTCGTATGTGATTGTGTGATTGATGAGATTTATTGATGAGATTTGGTAGCGAAGTTTCTGAAATTCGTATGAGATTGTGTGATTGTGTGATTGATGAGATTTGGCTTCTATGAGATTAAATTGTCTATGAGATTGTGTATTTGGCTTCTCTGAGATTAGCTAATCTCTGATACATGTGTGATCACCTCTGCATCTTAATGATTCTGACATTGTAGCTCAAAAATGCTTTATACATGTAGTCTCTATAAAATTCTTAGTTTTGCTTATTGTGGTCATGTATGTTGTGGTTTTAGGTTAATATGGATAAGTCATGGATTATAAAACCACGTTTATCTGAAGAATACATTAATGGGGTGGAAAGCTTTTTGGAATTTGCGTTTTCTAAAACTAATGCAGACATGATAAAATGTCCATGTCGTCGATGTTGCCTGATAAAGTATAAGTATAGAGATGATGTTTATGGGGATCTGATGTTTAATGGATTTCTTCCTACTTATACAAATTGGCATTCACATGGTGAACGACTGAATGTCGTAGAATCTGAAATGCCAATGGAAACTCATCAACAAATTGATAGTAATATCAGTTTGATTGAAGATTCCACAATGGAGCTGCTAGATAATTTGTTCCCAGCCATTAGAAGAAATTTTGAAGGTGGAGTCGGTCCATCTGATCAGCCTGCTCAGGAAGAAGATTTTGTTGATGATCAGGAAGAAGATTTTGTTGATGATCAGCCTGCTCAAGAAGAAGATTATGTTGATGATCAGCCTGCTCAGGAAGATTCTGCTAATAATTCTGAGGAAAAAAGAGCGTTTGATGAGTTGCTTTCAGATGCCAATGAAGAGCTTTATGAAGGATCAGCATTCTCGAAGCTTTCTTTTATGCTTAAGCTATATCACATCAAGGTTATCTCTAGAGTTAGTGATAAAGGGATGTCCATGATTATTGATCTTCTTAAAGAAGCATTCAAACATGCAAAGCTGCCAGATTCGTTCTACGATTTGAAGAAAACAATCAGTAAGCTCGGGTTGGATTATGAATCAATACATGCTTGTCCAAACGACTGCATGTTGTATTGGGGAGAAGATACTGATCACGATGTCTGCAAAATCTGTGAAACGTCAAGATGGAAAACCAAAAATGGAGAAAGTGAGGAGGGTTCAAGAAAGAAAAGAAGGCAAGCTGCAAAGATTCTACGGTACTTTCCACTGAAGCCACGTCTAAAGAGGTTATTCATGTCATCAAAAACTGCATCAAGTATGAAATGGCATGTTTCTCAAGAAAACAAGGATGGAAAAATGCGACATCCGAGAGATGGTCTAGCTTGGAAATCATTTGATCAGAGGTTCCCTGGTTTTGCATCAGAACCTAGAAATGTTCGACTTGGTTTAGCCACTGATGGTTTCAACCCCTACGGTTCTATGAGCACAAAGTATAGTATATGGCCAGTTCTCTTATTTCCATACAATCTCCCTCCTTGGATGGCAATGAAGCAGTCTTCAATGATTTTGTCGATGATCATTCCAGGAAAACAAATGCCTGGAAATGATATTGATATCTACTTGCAACCTTTGATAAAAGAACTCAAGGAATTGTGGTCTGATGGTGTTCAAACTTTTGATGCTTCAGAAAACAAAACGTTTTCCATGCGTGCAGCTTTGATGTGGACTATAAGTGACTTTCCAGGGTTTGGAAATCTCTCTGGCTGGAATACATATACAGGTCTTGCTTGTCCATCGTGTAACTATGATGCTACTGAGCTACGTCTACAACATGGTAAAAAGAATTGCTTCATGGGTCACAGACGGTTTCTTGGGTCTGATCACAAGTTTCGATATGATAAGCAGCATTTTGATGGTAGTGAAGAGCTTAGAAACCCTCCAATTACACCATCGGGCTCAACAATCTTGCAGCAAGTAGAAAGTGTTGATGTTATTTTCGGGAAACCAACAGAGATTAGCAAAAGGAAACGAGATCGTGCTGAAAGTATGAGAGAAGGAAGCAGCAGACAACAATGGAGAAAGAAGAGTATCTTTTTTGAATTACCGTATTGGGAACATTCATTGCTAAGACATAACTTAGATGTTATGCACATAGAGAAAAATGTCTTCGACAATGTGGTTTTGACATTATTAGATGATAAACAAAAATCCAAGGACAATCTTAAGGCAAGGAAAGATCTACGGGAGTTAGGTATTCGTTCTGAATTATGGCCAGACAACAATGGGAAGTATCCTCCAGCATCATTCAAGCTAACCAATAGTGAGAAAGATACCTTTCTCAGTATCTTAAAGAGTGCAAGACTCCCAGATGGATACTCTTCAAATTTCTCAAGATGTATTGATGAGAAGCAACGTAAAGTTCATGGTTTTAAAAGCCATGACTGTCACATTATTATGGGTCATTTGTTACCAATTGCTATACGTAGCATATCTTCAACACATGTGACTTTGTTATAACAGAATTGTGTCATTTCTTTCGTGATATCTGCTCAAAGGCGATCAGTAATAGTGAGTTATTGAAGCTGCTCATCATATTTCCAACATGATGAGCATCTTGAAAATACCAAATTTTCTCAGTTTATGCATACACAAGGACGTGAGAGAGGAAAATGGGTGGTTAACGTAATAGGTACTTACATCTAAGCTTTTGTTTGCCATTTTTTTGCAGATTCAGAAAGAAATGTAACCGAGGAACGACTTAATGCCCAAGATATATGGGGAATGGAGAATCGTAAAGTCATTCTTGAGTTTGGGCCATATGATCAACCTAAAGGAGGAAGTGGAGGTCTATTTGGTACGATCTAGGACAGTTGAGTAATGACTTGAATAAGTTTCCGATAACTTACGAAGACTGGAGGAAAGTACAGTCATGGAGAAAGGATGATGTATGGGATTACATTCAGGTATAATTTCCATGCTTTCATATGATTTACATTCATATGATTTCCATGCTTTTGCAGTCTAATAACTTTGATGGTGATTGTGTTTATTTTTGCAGACTAAGTTTGATTTTGATGCCTCAATCAATGGAAAGAAGTTTATCATGAAAAGTCGGAATCAAAAATGCAAAGGCCTAAAAACACGTCGGTGGCGTTCTTGTCGTCGCAATACTCGTGATGAATCTATGGAAGCTAGACCAGATTTTATTCCAAAAGAGCAGTGGCAAGACTTTGTGCATTTGCAATCCACAGAAAGAGCTAAGGTATTGTAAATCATTTAGTTTACTGTAATATACTCTGTTACATGTGATTTAGAGCTAAACTAATGTTTGTAACCCGTGATTTGTAGAAACTAAGAGACCGAAATATAAAAAATCGGAGCTGTTACAAGATACCTCACACTTTAGGGAAGAAGAGCATTTGTCGAAAATCTAAAGAAATTGTAAGTTGCTTATAAGCTAAAAAATTCTAAACATTGCTTGATATCTTTCTGATTTGTGCTTGTACTTCTCTAGTTTCTGAAGACAGGAAAACGTCCAAGTAGAGCAGAGATTTTTATATGTTCACGCCAAAAAGTTGATGGAAGCTTTATTAATGAAGAAGCACAAGAGTTATCAGTAAGTTTTTCACTTTGTTAATGAGATATCAAAGCATTGTTCATTGAATGTGTGAGTATTAGAGCATAGATGAAATACGTGAGTATTGGCTTAACGATCTCAAAGCATTGTTCTTGGTGCCTTGTTATGCTCTGCTTTCAAGAAAAACTTTTCCAGAATTGTGTTTTGGGTAATGAAATTGTGTTTGTTTCCTTGTTTGATCTCAGAGTAGCATATGTTTGATTGCTCTGAATGCAAAACTTGATTACTCTGAATGCAAAACTTGATTGCTCTGTTTGTTCTGTTTTCAGGAAAAACTTGCTCATACAAGGACTCTAAATACAGGAATCGATGAATTCTCTCAAGTATTTGGAGCTGAACGTCCTGGAAGTGTTCGGTGTGTTGGTCTTGGTCCTACTCCTTCCACCTTTTTCAAGAATCGGCCTACAACAACAACAGAGAAAACAGAAGTTGCTTGCTTGAGGAACAAAGTCAATTATCTTGAAGAGGAACTGGAAAAGTTGCGTGATGTGGTTAACATGATGAGAAGCTGAAGGTAAAGTATTTCAACTATGCCCTCATTTGGAACAGGAAGAGAAGTTGAGTTTCTAGTATACTTTGAACAGTTTGGTTTATAGCAATTTGAATAGTTTGGTCCATTTTAAAGAGTTTGTGATTGTGTTTACTGAACAGTTGACAATATTTGATGATAATATAGCAATTTGAACTGTTTATTATAGCAATTTGAACAGTTTATTATGCTTGTATCTATTGAAAACTGATACAAAAATCAGTGTTTAGATTGTGAAAGCTGATACTTGATATACCTCTAATTTACCCACTTTTTATACTGTTTTAGCATTGTTTTCTAATGGTTTTTGGCAGGTTTTCTATCTAAAAAGGTAGTTTTACTGTGTTTATAGTGTCTAGAGTCTAAACAGGTGAAATGATGCATTTTGGAGCAAAACCATAGGATTTGCACTTCAAGCAGCTCCATGCACAAGCACCAACTTTAAGAGGGCCCAGAAAAAGATCTACTCAATGGATTTCATCAAGACCAGTTCCCTGCGTGCTCTGATTGAGTTAACTTTCCAACGCAATTGGAATGGCCTAATTTGGATGAGTAGAAAAGGAGTTACAACCAAAAGAGTGAAGACTGTCCAGACGGCTCTATCGAGAATCAGCGCCCAACCGCGCAGTCCGGCTGGCCGAGGAACGAATGTTCCGCGCTCGGCCAAATCTCGTCCGTCCGTCTGAAGTCTCGGCCAAAGTCCAAAACCGTCGGCCGCACGCAAGTCACGACCCGGGAAACATTGCCCGCGGTCGGCCACGCCACGCCACGACCGCGCACGACCAAAGCGCGCGAGCCGGGAAACGCCTCGCGGCCGCGCAACTCATCCGCGTACCACGGCCGATGCATCCGTCCGAGCCGGGAAAACGTCCCACGTCCGGCCGAGATTTCATCGGCCAAATTCACCGCCGACCACGCCGGCCGACCACGATCCGTCCGACCCCGACCGTTCCGACTCGGCCACATACCCGATTGTCCGGCCGATCGTCCCGCACGACCGTCCCAACGCCGCGGTCGACCCGAAGCCCTTTTTGAAGCCCAAACTTATGTTTTCAAGCCCGGCTTAACCCTAGCCGCCTCTAGAAAGACCTAGCACTATATATATGGATTTTTAGCCTCTTGAGAAAGAGAGCCGCCCTGTATTTCGATTTCCTACTCTAAGTTTTATTGCAATCATGTTTTCTTCATCTCTATGTGTGTTTGCTTTGATCATGTCTGAGTAATCCACTAGTTAGGTTGCTAGGGTTACTATTCAATGAGTTGCTTGCATGATCTTTGATTTCAATGATTAGCTAGGGATTATATTAGAGTCTTTGTCTCGTCTTGTGCACTTAACTAATGCTGATTGCTTTACCGCGCATCTAGTAATCCGATCTTAGGTTGATTTGAGCCTCGACAGTGCTGTATCATTCGCCGGACATATTCTTTGACAAGCTAGGTTTCTTAGACTGCGAAAGTTGATCTATCTATATCTAGTGAACTGTATCAGAACCTATTCATTCTAATGCTTGATCTAATCACCTAGGGACATACCAAAAGTTTAGCGACTAGGTAGATTAGCAAAGGAGCCGGAGCCTCGAAAGTGGAATGGTTTTATATTCGTGATCTGTGTTCTAGATGGTTCTTAATATCCCAATATCCCTAATCAATTAATCTATCATTGTTTCATTGATCATTGCTTGCTTCTCTGCGATAGCCCCTATGACCTAGCGCTTTTCCTTTATTGCTTACAACCTCGTTATACTTGCTAGTTCGGTTCACCATTACAACCTCAATCATACTTTTGTTTTAGCTTGATCCAAAATCCATAGTTACAAAGTGTACTCAATAGCCAGTCCTTGTGTTCGATACCCATACTTCCGCGATCTGTGCACTTGCAGAGGTCTAGGAGTTTGGTAAAACCTGACTCCGCATCAAGTTTTTGGCGCCGTTGCCGGGGACTGCAGCAGTACCTTTGGAACTCGACTAGGATCTAGTCTAGAACCTTTTCCTGTTTTACTTTTCTTTTGCTTTTGAATTTTCAGTTTTTGATTTCCTTTTCTTTGATTTTTACTTTTGTTTTTGTTTTTCCCTTTTAGTTTAACTTGTTTCCAAGACTCTTTTCAGGTGCATGACTAGGAGGTCCAACAAGGACAACCTAGTTGAACATCCAGAGATAGACAAGCTTGAGAAGCAACTTAGGAAGCAGAAAGCCCAAGAGATGGCCGACGAAGCAGCTCGCGCTCACGCCGCTGAAGTGGCGCGCGCTCAAGAAGAAGGAAGAGATCCACCTCCTCCTCCTCCTAACCCTGCTGGAGATGTGAACGCACAACCCCAAGCTGGAGCACCTACAATCGGAGACTATGACTCTGCCGATGCTTTCTTCATGGATAGAAACCCTATCCATCCACCACCACCTGCAAGGAATGACTATGAGATCAAGCCTCAGATCATTGCATTGGTTAGACAGAACCAATTCAATGGACTTCCAGCTGAGCACCCTCTTGATCACATAGAAAACTTTGAAGAAATTTGCAGCACTACAAGATCCAATGGAGTCTCTGCTGACTACCTTAAGTGCAAGCTCTTTTCATTCTCTCTTGGCGACAAAGCTTCAAGATGGTTGAAGTCTCTGCCAGCTCACTCCATCACCACTTGGGATGAGTACAAGGCTGCATTCATCAACCACTTCTACACCAAACAGAGATCAATTTCTGTGAGAAACAAGATCTCCACTTTCGCCAAGGCAACAATGAGTCTTTCTATGAGGCGCTAGATCGATTCAAGGAGTACATTAGGGACTGCCCTAATCATGGTTTCAATGAGGGAAACCTATGGAACATCTTCTATCGTGGCATAGACCACAAGTACAAGCTTTCATTGGATACAGCAAGCAATGGAAACTTCATGACCAAGACTGTTGATGAAGCTAAGGTTCTTATTGAGAATCTTGCAGCTAGTGATTGTAACAACTGTCCTGATTATGACCGCTCAAGCCGCACCACTACTAGCTCCCCTGATTCTTTTCAAATGACTGAACTCAAGAACATGATGGCTCAAGTTCTTAAGGGACAGCTCAAGCATATCAATGCAATAGAAGGGATGAGTGATGCTAATGAAGATTCATCAAGAGAATGCATGGGAGATTTCTCTAATGAAGCCAATGAAGAAGATGTGAACTACATTGGAAACTATGGGAACAAGGGATACAATCCAAGCTATCGCCCAAACCCCAACATGTCTTATAGAAACCCCAATGTGGAGAATCCTCAAGACCAAGTGTATCCTCCAAGGTATCCACAACAACAAAGACCTCCTTACCAATCTCAAGGAAGTCAATTTCAGCCAAGGCAAGGATATGAGCAGAGATCATCATATCCGCCCAAGGAGCCATATGCTTCTTCACCAAATCAAGCTCCTCCAAACCAACAAGGTGGGAGATTTGAAGGAATCCTCCAACAGATCATGGATGGCCAGAAGAGAAACACTAAAGAGATGTATGAGAAGATGGACACTTTGTTCAGCAATCTCAACACCAAGTATGATGCTGTTGCCACTCATGTGAAGAAACTAGAGACTCAAGTCACTCAAACTATGGAAGCTGTTAAGAGACAGGAAGCTGAATCCAAGAAGTCCTTTTGCAACTCAGCCGCCATAGAAGAAAGATTTGAAGACCAAGTTCCAGAATGGATGCTTTCAAAACCTACTGTTGATTGCATGATTTGGCCTGAAGAGAATTACCCAGAGAGAGAGTCCAATCGAGCTAGAAAGAGAAGACTCTTCCCAAAGATTATCCCCAAGACAGATAACTCAGGAAAGTTTGTGTGCCTTGTATCATCAAAGGTAACATTCTTGAGCAATCTTTGTGTGACACAGGAGCCAATGTGAACATCATGTCTAAGAGGATAGCTGACAAGATAGGCCTCACCAAGATAGAGCCATCATCCATCTCCATCAACTATGCTGATTCATTCTCACAAACCCCTATGGCTTTGTGCCTAATGTGATGGTGCAGATTGGAAATTGCTCTATCCCTACTGATTTCCAGATTGTGGAAATGAGAGAGAGTAGCCATAGACCTCTCATATTTGGAACCCCTTTCCTGTCTACTGTGGGTGCCATATTTGATTTCCCCAATCAAAGAATCTCTTTCAACAAGGTGAACAAGGGTATGTTCTTCCCTATGTGTTCAACAAAGAACTCTTTTGTTGACATGGTCCAAGAGGAGAAAGCTACTTTGAAGCCACCCCAAGAAGGAGAAACTGAAGAAACAATCAAGGAAGATCCCATTCCTAAGCCCAAGCAGCTTGCCAAACAAGCAAGGAGTAAGACTAAGGCCCCTACACCAAAACCGCCCAAGGGATCAACCAAGATTGAAGATGAGGCCAAGCCAAGAAGGAAGGTTAGAAAACCTAGGTCTGGCCGCAACATGAAGCTTCTATTCCCAAGGAGCTTATTGATGAGAATCTAGAAGGATTCAAGGAGAGAGTGACAAGAACTCTAAAGCTTTTTCCTAAGGCAGTAGTGCCAAGGGACATTCATGGAGAGATTGTCTATCCAGCTGTGAATCACCCACCAGATACTCATTGCAAGGAGAAAAGACTTGGAGGATCAAGGATGCCTCTTGTCTCTATCTTCTCCTGAGCGCCAAGCCTTACAGTCAAGCTAAAGACTTAAAACAAGCGCTGCATGGGAGGCAACCCATGAGGTACTTTTACTTTTCTTTCTTTAATTTTCTTAGTTTTTGTTTTGCTTTTGTGTTTTCTTTGTTTTAAGATAGGATAGAAGGAGAAAAAGGTGTGAAAACACAATCCGCGCCAAAACATTGGCCGCGGACGCGCAAAAGAGATTTTGGCCGAGCAATTCCATCTGGCCGACCGTCACGGTCGAGCCGGGAAGGAATAAGCCGTGCTCGGCCGGATTTCTACTTGCGCGACAGAAAACGTTCGCGCCACGCGCGAACCGGGAAAGAAGCCGCGATCGGCCGAAATTTTGTATCGGAACGGACCGACCGTGCCGGTCGATCCGGGAAACACGCTCGGCCTCGGCCGAAATCTCTCGGCCAAAACAATTTGGCCGACCAAATCGCTCGACCGCGACAAAATCCATCGGCCATCGGCCCAAAACTTTTCTAGGCCAAGGTACACCATGGCAAAGACAAAAGGAAATGAGAGTATGAAGAAGAAGAAGAACCCATTCATGGACCACCAAAGAAGCAAATCAAGCTAGGGAGTAGTAGCTCCAATGCAAGAGCAGCAATACCAACTTCACCACATTCCATTGATGCAATCAAGAACATGTGGAGAGTCCAAGAAGAGGAGAAGATGATTGGGCACTTGTAACCTTTGTTGGAGAACAAAATCAAGACCCAAGAAAGTGTAAGAAGGCAATGGAGAAGGTGAACATCGAGCCATGTGTGAAGATGGACACCCAAACCCTTGATCTTCTCAAGATAAGAGATGATGTCACATGGTACATAAGGAAGCTAGGCTTGAGCAAGCTCTTCAAGCTAGAATGTAGTGAGTACTCACAACTCACCAAGGAGTTCCTCTCCACAGTAGCTCTTGCCTTTCCCAACCACAATGGAGACCAACCAGCTGGTGATGGACTCCTACTCTTCAAGATAGGCGATGCCAATGGGCGCATATCCATCTCAGCTCTATGCCAACTCTTTGGACTTCCCAATGAGACAGCACATGACTTCAAGGAGAACTCAAAGAGGAAACAAGCTGCCTTTGCTGATTGGACACACTTTGCCAATGAACCATTCTTGCCTTCAAGGTCAAAGGTGTCTAGAATCACTCATCCAGCCATTCGCTATGTGCACCGCCTCATCTCCACCACTTTCCAATGCAAACAAGAAGCCAACAAGGTCACAACTGATGAGTTCTACATCCTCACCACACCATTCATCAAGCATGAGTACAAGGCCAACCTTGGACTTTTACTTGCCAAGACATTCATCAATGTGAGGAAGCTAGCTAAAGACTTGGAAGGCAACAAGAAGCTTTGTGTTCGTTTTGGGAGGCTTATCACGGCCATAGTACTGCATGTGGGGATTGACATTCCCAACTATGAGCCACTACCCAAGCCAACCCCTTTGGATCTCCATGCTCTTCAGCACATCCACTTCCTAAACCGTTGGACTAAAGACCCAACTCGGTTTTGCTATGAGTTTCCAATTGGTCCAGCCAACACTTCCCTTGTCTTGCTGCCACATGAGACATCCCAAGCCTACGCTCAGGAGTTGTCACTTTCCAGCCCAATGAGGAAGACTTCTATGTTCCATCAAGTGAGAAACCATCATTCCCCATGCTCACCTATCGCACACTTCAGCATGCAGTCAAGACTCAACGCCGCCTCCAAGAACGCCATGTTCTCACTACTGGCATGGCGCGCACCAAGCTCTAGACCGTGTTAACAAGCTGGAGAAGATAGTGGAATGCCAATCTCGCTTCATCTCACGCCTAGTCCGCGTAGTTCGCCACATTGCACCGGAGAGACTCTTTCGCCCTTCTTCCACCGCTAGAGAGCCATATGAGCCTGACCTTGGTGAGTTCTCACTAGACTCAGAGCTTGGTTCAGAAGGCGATGACCCCATAGATGAGGAAGAGAGTTCTTCTCACTGCCACACATAGTCATCTCAAGTGGTACTTAGTGCAATGGACACTTACAAATCTCCATTTTCTATCCCTATCTCATTTTAATGAATTTTTCTTTATTTTTCTTTTACTTTGAATATTACCTCTCACCTTAATGTGATTTGCTTTCACCGGGACGGTGCAAGTTAAGTCTGGGGGGAGTTTTATTGTGTTACTAATGCATTTTTCTTTCTTTTCTTATGTTTTATTCACTTTGTTTCATGTTTTTCAAAAAGTTTTATTGAGTCAAAAACCAGTCCGGAAGTTATGAACTTGCTTTGAGAATTGAGAGTGTTATGCTAACAATCCATGACCCTAGAGCAGAAACCAGCTAAAGGCACAAGCCTAACAGAAGCTCTTACAGTGGATCGACATGCTAGCTCAGCAAAATTTCTAAGGTAACCAAGCAATCTAGAGTTAACCTCACCTTAATCAATCTTAATTACTCTTGTCAAGGGGGTTGGCATACATGTCGACAGTTCCTTGCTTGATTTTCAATAAGATTTGTCTAATCTTTAAAGAGTTCTCCTCTCTCTCCCATCCCAAATGGTAAGTATATTTATGAGAAAAAGCTCAAAGAGCACAAGGAAAACAAGTAAGCATGAGGAATGCATATGTCTGTACCTTCATGTCTTATGGAATACCTTAGTCAAACAAGGAACAAGCTAAAGACTTATCCTGTGGTTGAAAGAAGGGTCAATAGAAAAAATAAAATGATACCCTAGAAAAGTAGGGAGAAATTGACCTTTCAAAGTTCTGATGTGAGAAAGAGAGAGGAAAAGAACTCATTGCACTTAAAGAGGCAATCTTGGAGAGGATCAAGTGGGTAAGAACAAGTTCAATTGATCGATGTCCCCTTGATAAAGAATTCACGCTTTAAATTTATGCAAGAGGTTAGCAATAGAGAGTTTGGATTGCTGGATGAGACTAGTTGGGTTGGTATTGTTCGCTAAACTTGCAGGGTGTATGTGAAGCTAACCTTATGTTGTCTATGTTCATAGTGGAATACAGGAAAGGAACCTTTCACAGGATATTCAAAAGAGCAAGGGAGCTTCCACGTTTTCAAACCTCTTTCACGGATTTAGATTCTTTTTGCTTGAGGACAAGCAAAGATCTAAGTCTGGGGGAGTTGATATACCTCTAATTTACCCACTTTTTATACTGTTTTAGCATTGTTTTCTAATGGTTTTTGGCAGGTTTTCTATCTAAAAAGGTAGTTTTACTGTGTTTATAGTGTCTAGAGTCTAAACAGGTGAAATGATGCATTTTGGAGCAAAACCATAGGATTTGCACTTCAAGCAGCTCCATGCACAAGCACCAACTTTAAGAGGGCCCAGAAAAAGATCTACTCAATGGATTTCATCAAGACCAGTTCCCTGCGTGCTCTGATTGAGTTAACTTTCCAACGCAACTGGAATGGCCTAATTTGGATGAGTAGAAAAGGAGTTACAACCAAAAGAGTGAAGACTGTCCAGACGGCTCTATCGAGAATCAGCGCCCAACCGCGCAGTCCGGCTGGCCGAGGAACGAATGTTCCGCGCTCGGCCAAATCTCGTCCGTCCGTCTGAAGTCTCGGCCAAAGTCCAAACCGTCGGCCGATCACGCAATCACGACCCGGGAAACATTGCCCGCGGTCGGCCACGCCACGCCACGACCGCGCACGACCAAAGCGCGCGAGCCGGGAGAACGCCTCGCGGCCGCGCAACTCTCCGCGTACCACGGCCGATGCGCCGTCCGAGCCGGGAAACTACGTCCCGCGTCCGGCCGAGATTTCATCGGCCAAATTCATCCGTCCGACCACAGCGGCCGACCACGCATCCGTCCGACCCGACCGTTCCGACTCGGCCACATACCCGATTGTCCGGCCGATCGTCCCGCACGACCGTCCCAACGCCGCGGTCGACCCGAAGCCCTTTTTGAAGCCCAAACTTATGTTTTCAAGCCCGGCTTAACCCTAAGCCGCCTCTAGAAAGACCTAGCACTATATATATGGATTTTTAGCCTCTTGAGAAAGAGAGCCGCCCTGTATTTCGATTTCCTACTCTAAGTTTTATTGCAATCATGTTTTCTTCATCTCTATGTGTGTTTGCTTTGATCATGTCTGAGTAATCCACTAGTTAGGTTGCTAGGGTTACTATTCAATGAGTTGCTTGCATGATCTTTGATTTCAATGATTAGCTAGGGATTATATTAGAGTCTTTGTCTCGTCTTGTGCACTTAACTAATGCTGATTGCTTTACCGCGCATCTAGTAATCCGATCTTAGGTTGATTTGAGCCTCGACAGTGCTGTATCATTCGCCGGACATATTCTTTGACAAGCTAGGTTTCTTAGACTGCGAAAGTTGATCTATCTATATCTAGTGAACTGTATCAGAACCTATTCATTCTAATGCTTGATCTAATCACCTAGGGACATACCAAAAGTTTAGCGACTAGGTAGATTAGCAAAGGAGCCGGAGCCTCGAAAGTGGAATGGTTTTATATTCGTGATCTGTGTTCTAGATGGTTCTTAATATCCCAATATCCCTAATCAATTAATCTATCATTGTTTCATTGATCATTGCTTGCTTCTCTGCGATAGCCCCTATGACCTAGCGCTTTTCCTTTATTGCTTACAACCTCGTTATACTTGCTAGTTCGGTTCACCATTACAACCTCAATCATACTTTTGTTTTAGCTTGATCCAAAATCCATAGTTACAAAGTGTACTCAATAGCCAGTCCTTGTGTTCGATACCCATACTTCCGCGATCTGTGCACTTGCAGAGGTCTAGGAGTTTGGTAAAACCTGACTCCGCATCAATACTATAAAGAATTCAATTGCTACCAAGTGGCTATAGCTCGACTGGTAAAGGGACCTTAGGCAAAGCTTAGAGGTCACATGATCGAGTGTGCTTGGGACGAAACCAATATTACATGCTGTGGTTTCGGTCCTGAGGGATGTACGGGCTTCGGCCCAGAACCTCTTAGTAATTCAAAAAAAAAGAAAAAAAGAATTCAATTGCTAGCAAACTGACTCTAAAATTAGTTAGCGTCACTTTTGATAATCGATACAAAAAAATGTTTAGTATCAGTTACTAAAGTGTTGCCAAAATTTGGTATAACATCATTTATAAAATTGACACTATATATGACTCTAACAATGAATTTTAGAGTCAGTTCTAAAACTGATACAAGACTTTTTTAGCATCAACATTTTTAGCATCACTTTTTAAACTGACCTTAAAATTATAGTGTCAATTAAAAACTGATGCTAACTACCAAAACAACTGATGCTAATTACAGAATTTCTTGTAGTGACATATTAAGTAAATATAAATAGGGTTAGGAAAAATTCTCGTACTGTCCTGTTCCATCCCGTCCCATTTCGTTCCTTTTCATCATGTCCATTCTTTCCCGTCCCGTTCTTCATGTCTGTCTTGTCTTGTGCACTCCCATCCTATTTCATTATGTTCGTTTCGTTTTTTCCTCTCCTTTCCCGTTTCTTTCTATCATGTCCGATCCCGTCCCATTCTGTTCCTTTTCATCATGTCCTGTTTGTTCCGTACAATCCCATCATATTCATCCCGTCCAGTCCCATCCTATCTCATTCAGTTTCTTTCCGTCTTGTCCTTTCCCATCTCAGTCCTTTCGTTTCTTCCGATCCTGTCCCAAAATATAATTAGGGATAGGCAAAATTTCGTGATTACAGACATCCCGGATATCCAATTTTCCGGGACGAATAACGGATAGGATCATGTATCCAGGATAATTTGCCCAGACCTATTTTTAAATAGTATTACAAACATGTTTAAAGAAAATTTGAATATATCAAGTTTTGTAATTTGATTTTGTATTTCAAAAATATCATATGGAACTTAATTAAATCAAAATTATGGGAGTAAGTCCTGTTATCTTCCTTCCTATTTGTTTTGTTATGTCTTGTCTTGTTCCTTCATGTCATGTCTCATCCTATCTCATTCTTTTTCATCATGTTATGTCCCGTCTCATTCCTTCCCATTTTGTCCTGGTTCATCACATTTCATCACGTCCTGTCCTGTTCCTCCTCTTTCGTTTGTTCCTTCATGTACTCATTACTTCTTGTCTTGTTCCGTTCCATCCTATTCCTTTTCGCATGTTTTGTCATATCCCGATCTTTTCAGTCATGTTCTTTCATGTCACATCTCATCTCATTGCATAAACATTACAAAACTATATACTTTAATTTGAAAAAGCTAAAATCGTAAAGTTTTAGTTTTTGTAGATCAATAAATATGATTTTTATTTTATAAATTAAGTTTCAAATGTTTGTTAAAACAAATATATCAATAAGATATTCTTTTCTTCCCAACTACGGGAAAACGATATATCCCCTCCCTCCCCCACCCCCCTTATGTCCACCGAAAGTATGCCCACGTTCCAAACCTCCATACAATGAAAGTTAAAGAGCCTAATCTCCCCAAAAAAATAGTTTAGTCCTCATCAAACTGGGTTTGAGTAGGTTTATGATGTAAACTAGATACCAAAATATCACTACAACAAATACCCCCATTGATAGCAGACGATTAACGCTATTATATGGTTTTTATAGCATTTTCATGTATGCTATTACAGCCACTCAGTGGCGGACCTAGAAACATATCTTAGCTGGGTCAAAACTCAATTTAGGTGTCATTGGCGAGATTCGAACTCTCGTTTGGGGTGTCAACAAGAAGGATGTTACCAATTGAACTGTTGCATTCATGTGTTTTCTTCTTACGAATAAAAATATTACCTTATTTTAGGTGTGTCAAGTGAACCAGTATCTTTGCATGTAGGTCCGCCACTGCAGCCACTGCTATAATAGAGTGGACACATACGATAGCATTTATATTCAGGCGCTATTGTAGGTCCGTCTACAATAGCTGTTTATTTGTGTTGTGTTTACTTGTTTAATAACACAATATCGTTGTTATCTTTGTGTATGTAGCAGCGTTTTTGAATTGTTATACTAGTATATACCGTAGCGCACTTTTGTTGTTGTCAAATATTATATAGTAGCGTTGTTAGGGTGTTATACAAATGTTAGTTGTAGCTCACTTTTAGTGTTGTAAAATATAACGCACTAGCACTATTTTGTTGTTATTAGATTTTTTTTTTTTTTGTGGCGTTCCTTTAAAGCTATTTATATAAATTAAAATTTAAGCTATTTCTATAAATTAAAATTGATCTGCAATATATATTAAAGATACTTTTTATTTCATGGAAAAATAGAAGAACATAATAAGTCTTACAAACTCTAATCCAAAGGAAATATTAAATAAAAACATCGAATACTACTCCTATAGAACAAAACCAGCTTTCGATCTCTTCCAACATACTCTCTCTCTTCAGTCTTTGCACCTGTAATAAAAACATTAAAAGAAACATAAGTGTCATACTAACATAAGAGATAAACAGAGTAAGAAAAATGCAGTACGAGCTAGCCGTTTATGTGGACGATACCTTCGAACTCTCTCTTGATCTCTTCTGCCACACTTTGTGTCTTTCCAGCTGTTTTGAGAGCAGAGTTCAATTTGATTCATAAAACAAATATACAGGATAAGGGAAAAAGAGAAAGAAGAGACGAGAAGTTGTAACCTTGTGCTTCAACTTTGTCCCAATTAAATCATTCACCTTTAGTTGTTCAAGACTTTTTGTGGCAGCTATGAGTAAGAAACAAAAAAAGAACACATGAACATATTCTTAAGTTGTTATCAAAATATAAAAACCATTTTTTCAGATAGATAATGGTATGTAACAAATACCTTAAAATTCCTGTTCGATGATATCTTCAAGCGTACTTAGTTTCTTTGCAGCTGTAACATGACATAGAGGCAGCTTCAGAGACAATGGATCATAGAACCCCATTCTCTTTGATGTGTTGTTTCAAGTTCGAAGACTAAAGTCAGAAAGTGTTGAAAGTTTACATGGGTTCTGTGAGGAGTTGCTGATGGCATTGGAGGCTTGTAACTGGTAACTGGTTGTTCTCAAATCTCACAAAACAGCAAGAACACACTGATTAGTTTCAAAGAACAATTTATTAGATAAATAAATATATGTGGAACTCTCTGATCTAAATTGATGAAAGCAAATATGTCAAGTTGCATCGAAAGAGTTACCTTATATTCTGATTCTTTTGAATAACTGAATTGAACTCCAAAGATCTTTGTTGCATATTCTTATGCATGACTATTACCCAAAGTGGATACAATCTACGATTGATTCTTATGCTCAGACTCTCAATAGCTTTGATTTCTGGAGATTTTCATTTTATTTATCAAACTGCAAAGAGAAACATAACCTACAACAATAAGAACACGAACAGAATAAATAAACAGAATTCATTTACCCTCTTTTTTTTTTTTTTTTAATGCTATCAATAGAATTTATTTTTCTAATGACCGCAAAAACATGAATTTTTTTCTAAGTGTTGGCGCTTATGAGATAAAATGGGGGGATTAGCAAGTTTTTTTTTGCCGCTTCTTATTTTTTAGGCATAACATACAGAAAATGCTATAAAAAGGTGAATTGATACCCAAATTCACTTTTAACAACAGTTACAAAAATTATGCTATCATCATCTGCTATCAATGGGGGTATTTGTTGTAGTGTATTGAAGCCTAAAATTAAACCTAGCCAAAACCCAATTCGACCTAAACAATGACCCGTATATCCAATTCCCCCAAATCTTCAAATCCATGTTTTTTAAATATTATGAACCGTAACGAAGACTGGTGCAAGAGCTTAATCAGGACGACCACGTCCCATGTTATGGCCGACCGTGACCGAACGACCAGGAAACTATTTGGCTTTGCTTGGCCCACCTCATCATCACATCATGGCCGACCACGACTGATCGACCGGATATGTGTATATACTTATTTTTAGCATCTTTAGACAAAAATGCTCATTATAAGTGC